TAACCGATGGAGTCGTTCGACCTCGGCCTCAAGCTCTCTCTGAGTCCGCAAGCTATCCTCAGAAGCTTTCAATCGCTCCACCTTCTCGGCTTTGGCCAACGCCTCAGCCTCCTGTTTAGCCGCGATCGCCTCGGACAATTTAGCTTCGATCTTAGCTCGGGACGTCTCCGATCTCTCACGGGCCAGCTCGGACTTCCGAGCTCCAGAGTCATAGGCCCGAACCATGGAGTTCATCGAATGGAAGGCCTGAAATAGAACAAGAATTATTAGCAAATATACATGAAAACGATAGTAAAACAGGTCAAGAACGGATCGGTAATACCTTCAAGAATCCGGCAGCGGTTTCACGGTAGTTTTGAGCCTCCAACAAGGCATCGGGAGCAGACAGTGGCGGCCCCGAGCAGGAAGCGACAAAGTTCGCCGAAGCGATCTTGTCCTTGTATACCGGAGTCTCGCTACGACTCCTTTTCTCCTTCCTAGAGACTCCCGAGCCATCACCTCGGGGTCTTTTTCCCCTAGTTTTGGATTTCGTCTCGGCGACCGGAGCAGCAACGACCAGAGTCCCTACCGCCTCGGGGACGTCGGTCGCAGGGGAGATGTGTCCAACCACCTCAGGAACGATCGGAACCATGTCCCGAGGTACATCAGTTGCCTCGGCACCCATAACAACCTCAGGGTTGGCCTCGGGAGGAGTAGGAGGTCTGAAGTTCGCCTCCAAAACGGCTTTTTCCTTAGCCGCTTTCTTTTCAGCAGCCTTCCTGGCTCTCAGAGATTGCGCAGCTCCTTGCATTTCAATGAGGTGATCCAGGCGGTGATCGGATGATTCCGAAGAAGATTGGCAGGGGGCTCCGTGCAACAAACGTAAGGCTCTCTCAATCCTTTCCTGGGAGAAGTGCTTCGTCCAGTCGCACTTCCGAGCTATTAGTTCGTCGTGGAGGTCTAGAAAGCCTTCGGGAATGTCTTCGAGAAACGACGGGTTCCGATCTGCATGAACAAGAAAAACGATCAGTTAAAAAATTAAAGCAAAACAAGAACAGCAAATACGGCTTCGGGCGTAGTACCGATTTGTCTCCACTTTCCAACAATTTTCCCTAAGTAGTCCTCGTGGACACTATACTCATTTAAGGCTACGAAGAAGAAGTGGTCGGTGTATTTCTCATCTTTGCTCGGGAAACCACCGATAACCCTCCTGTTTGGCCTCGGAGATATGTAAAATCTCTCAACAGGGCCCGGTATGCGCCGGATCTCTAGAAGATTCCTTAGATGGCTTAGGTCAACGAGATTGACCGTCTCGATACTTCGGACTAAAATCCCCACTAGATGCCGCAAGCCTCGGGTCGTTATCTGGGATAAAGCAATCTTGTACGACCACAGAAACGCCAAAATCGGCCTCGGGATTGGAAGCCATAGGTAGCAATGATAGAAGAACCCCTCATAAAGGGTAAAAAACCCCTCGGGTGGATCATCGGCCCGCTCGTTTGGAGTTGGAAGTCTCAATTCAACCCCTTCGCTGAAACCAAAACGAGCCTTGAGATCCCGAAGGGAATCCTCCGTGCATAAGGTAGAACCCGGGGGATCGGGTTTCCTGGCTTTCTTGGCTCGTTTTCTCTTCTGTTGACCCTTGGCTGCTTGGACTTTAGCTCGGAGCAACCTAGCTGCCTCGTCAGAGTCGTAATGAACCTCCTCGGCCTTAATAGGAAGTAGAGGCGCCTCGGGGACATTTCGCCAGCACGATACTCCAGCTTCACCAGCTGCCGGTGGACGAGCCCTCCTACTCAAAATCGCCTCGGGATCATCAGGAAAATCCTGATCCCGAGCCACATTCGCAACCGCGTCTTCCCGAACAATGAAACGGCTCGGGTCTTCTTCCCGTGAAGCCGACTCTGCATCACTTCCACGGTACAACACGATCTGATGGTCCGCCTCGGGGTCGCTCGAGGAACTCCAGACCATCTTCCTCTTGTAGACGGGGAGATGAGTGTCGCCTCGGGGTGAATCACTAGAATCAGATAGAGACATTTTCTGGCTCGGGAGATTGAAGATGTAGATCGGAGGAACAAAGCTCGACAGATCGGAGAAATCAACCTAGATCTAATGACGGCGGCGCTACGGCGGAAGTATAACGGAAAAAAGAGAAAATGCAAGAACTCAAGATCAGAGAGAAGAGAACGAACCTTGAAAATTTTCCTTTGCTGTTGCGAAATGAGGAAACGAGTCAGAGACTTAGCATTTATAGGGATTTAAGGCGCGTCGGGTACGAACGAGCCAAATAAAACACATCGAATCCGCGTCTGAGGCGCGTCGGGCACAAACAAAGTAAGTAAGATACTTCGCATCCGCACGAGTCTCGGGAATCAGCGAAAGGACCTTTCCACTTCTCGAGAAGGAATCCCAACCGTCACACGCCAAGAGAAGATGAAACGACAGAGGAATCCGAATCGCCAAAGGACCGGACTGTTCAAAGTAAACGGCTCGGCCTAAACGTCATAAAGCTCATCACGCTTGGTTCTCCAAACTAACGAGCTGGGGGGCTAACTGTTGGGGTCGGTTTCACCCTTTGGCGCCGAGCCAGACTTAGAACACTTTGGGAGTCTTTCAGAGATCATCTCGGGGCATCGCATCATTCACCTCGGGATATCTGTAAACGATTTAGTATACCCGAGCTCTATCGAGCTCGGGGATACTTTAACAAGACTACGAAGGCACCCGAGCTCTATCGCCTCGGGGACACTTTAACAAGACTACGAAGGCACCCGAGCTCGATCACCTCGGGAGTTTCTGAGCCCGTCGCCTCGGGAACACCTTTAACAAGTAGTCTCGAGTGCCCGAGCCCTTCGCCTCGGAGATACTCGAAACTAGACGTTTCAAGCACCCGAGCCCTTCGCCTCGGGGATGTTTGAACGTTATCTCAATCACCCGAGCCCTTTGCCTCGGGAGTTTCTGAGCCCATCGCCTCGGGGACACCCGAAGAAGCCATCCTAGAGTGCCCGAGCCGTTTCTTCCTGTGTACCCGAGCCAGTTGCACAAGTTCCCCGAGGCGAAGTCTTCATCATTGCCCGAAGCAAAGACTTAGTAAATATTCTTCTTTAAAGGTATCATTTCCAAGCATATTATCATTTCCGAAAAAGAAGGATCATTTCCGATAAACTCGGAAATGATAAGGAAGAATCTCGAAGGATCAACTCAAATCAGGAAATCTTCCAAAAGACTCCGAAGAATAAGGAAACTATCCTAATCCGCGATATTCTAAGCCGACTTCGAGATAAATGGAAATCTTCCGAGAATATCGCTGGAGAGGCGGTTTATCATCCCTATATAAAGAGATTCGAGGCTCTCGCAGAAGGCAAGCAATATCGCCCTAGAAATTACTCTACGCAAAGCTCTCACAGCACAAACGCTTTTTTCTTTTACGATCAAATTCTTGTACGATCAAAGTCATCTTTTCATTAATAATATCAAGAACACCATCTTTGGTATCAATCGTTTCTGTTGTTCTTTGAGAATTCACGATTATCGTATCCCTAAAATAAAACCCTAGACAAATCTTGATTGTGTGAGTTTCGACTTCCACAGTAGTTACTATTGATTTTTCTTCATTTATTACGTCATGGCTGAGAGATACTCAAAAGATGGAGGATTTGTATCTTGAGCCCCAAAAAGAAAAAAGGCACCATCTTGGAGCATTGATTTGGTCAACCAAATAAAACGATGTAGTGAAAAGTTTTTTAGCGGTTAAAAAATGGCGATGCAGTAGAAATTGTATATGATATGTTCAGACTCTAATACCATATACAATTATTATGAGTTTTCAATTAAATAGAAATATTCAAACAGTTATAAAAGGATCATAACTCATTTGTTAAATATAATATATTATATTTAACTCATTGTCTATTATAAATATTTGTTTTTAAAAAATCAACTTAGAGTATTTATTGATGATATTCTTTAAATATTGATGATATTCTTGAAAAATATCAAGTAAAACTAATTTTATATGTTGCAAATTAAAAATCTTATTGTAGTATATAAAATAATACATTTCAAAAAATAAATGTTTGAAATAGAATATAAATATTCAAATTTTGACTCGTTACTCAGCCGAAATTTTTGTTGAACTTATTTTTGGTTAAAAGAAATATATTACTCAAATGTGAATTTTTGACCCGTTATTTTTTTTTCTTTATAGATTTAACAATTTATATTCGTTTTTAAAAATTCAAATCTTGGCATATGCAGAAAAAATTTACTTTTTTTTTTGTTATATGGATGATATGATGATTTATTTGTTTCATAAAAATAGAATCATATAAAGATGAGAGGTGAAACATAATGATTAATAATAAATTAATATGGTAAATTAGATATCAAATCTTATATGTTCATTTTGATTGGTCATTCTTTTTTTTTTTAAGTTAATAATATATTTTTGTTTTTAATAATTAAATTAAATTTCATAAATTAGTATTTGACTTGTTTATCTTTAATGAGCTAAATTGATTTACTATTTATATTTTTATTTCTAATGGCATTCTAATGTAATAACTTACAAAGGGGAAATTTATTAAAAGGTAATTATAAATTGTATTCCCCAAATAATAGTATAGGATGATAATGATATTCTAATTTTAAGCTTTTCCAAATGTTATAAAACCGTACAAACAATTTATGTGATTAGTGTCAAATGCATAAAATGGCAAACGCGAAAACAAATTATATGTCAAAATCAAATTATGTTTTAATTGATTTTAAATTAACAGCATATATATTTAATTGATTTTCAATATTTAATTATATTCGGTAATGTGTGGAGATGTTCAATAACGACCGAATTTTTGAATTTTTGGGCACAGTCATTCCATTCTGATTTTGTTTAAATGAAATTAAGAATCTCGTTTCTGGTTCATAAATTAGAGCGGTTAAAACCCAATTTCGGCGGTTGATGTAGTACCGATCAAACCAAAGATTTTGAATTTGACACCGTGGAGGATTGGTTAACAACACTCTTTAACACTTTAGAAAAAAAAAAAAAAGAGAAAGAAGAAGGCTTGAATACGGAAGCTTGAGAATGAAAGCGATCGTGATCTCGGAGCCAGGTAAGCCAGAGGTTCTGCAACTGCGTGATGTGGCAGACCCAGAAGTCAAGGACGATGAGGTTCTCGTCAGAGTTCTCGCCACTGCTTTGAATCGTGCCGATACTCTCCAAAGACTTGGCCTTTACAATCCACCACCTGGCTCAAGCCCTTACCTTGGTCTCGAGTGTTCTGGAACCATTGAATCTGTTGGCAAAAACGTCTCTCGATGGAAGGTTGGAGACCAGGTAGACCCTCGATTCATGTGTCATTTTCGTTTCTGGAAATTGGGAAAATCTTGTTTAAGGCTTATAATAATACTCAGTTTTGGGGTTTTAGGGTTTGGTGTCCCTGTGTTAAGTTCCGTGGAATCTTCGAGCTTGGATTAAGACCTGTGTGAATATACTGCTTAGTGATCAACTCATGTTCTTATTGATTTAGGATTCAGAACATTTGAATTATAATTAATTTTGTTTCAGTTTGGTTGCAATTTGTTTTCATTTATAAGCTGTTGGTGGCTTAGTACAGTTTTGTGTTTGATTGGCTTTAGTTTCTCTTTAGGCTTATTAGGCCAGTAAATTACCTTTGAAGTATAAAGTTGCTGTCTTGGATTAAAGCTCTGACCGTCTGTCTTTATCTTAGGTGTGTGCTCTTCTTTCTGGAGGAGGTTATGCAGAGAAAGTCTCTGTTCCTGCTGGACAAATTTTCCCAGTACCCGCTGGTATCTCTCTTAAAGATGCAACGGCTTTCCCTGAAGTGGCATGCACTGTTTGGTCTACTGTCTTCATGATGGGCCGTCTCTCCGCTGGTGAATCATTCTTGGTATTTCACTTCTCCTCTTTCTATGTATAAGACCGTGCTATTTTGTTCTCTTCTTGTCTATCTCCTCGTTAATGTTGATAGTTGCTGAGATTTCAGGTTCATGGAGGTTCAAGTGGGATTGGGACTTTTGCAATTCAGATAGCTAAACATCTAGGAGTGAGAGTATTTGTAACAGCAGGTTTGGTATAAGCTTCAATTTATCGATCACCTTCATGTTTGTTCTTTAGAATAATGTTCCAATTTTCTTTTAACTAATAGGGAATGAGGAAAAGCTAGCTGCCTGCAAAGAACTCGGGGCTGATGTTTGTATAAATTACAAAACCGAGGACTTTGTCGCAAAGGTAAAAGCGGAAACTGATGGGAAAGGTGTGGATGTTATCTTGGACTGCATTGGGGCACCGTATTTGCAGAAAAACCTCGACAGCTTAAATTTCGATGGTAGGTTATGTATTATCGGATTAATGGGAGGAGCCAATGCAGAAATAAAACTAAGTAGTCTGCTTCCAAAGCGTCTCACTGTCTTAGGTACTGAGAACACACTTGGTCAATCAATGATACTATCGCAAACTCAAATCTGAGACCTATTGATAATCTTGATCTGTTTTGGTCCTACAGGAGCTGCATTAAGACCGAGAAGCCCTGAAAACAAAGCGGTTGTTGTAGCAGAAGTCGAGAAGAATGTGTGGCCAGCGATAGAAGCGGGGAAGGTAAAACCGGTGATTCACAAGTATTTACCATTGTCACAAGCAGCAGAAGCTCATAGCCTTATGGAGAGTAGCAAACACATTGGTAAGATTCTGCTTGAGACCTGATCCTCTGGAAAGGGAGAAATGTTCAGAGACAAGAGTCATGGTGAATAATCAATAAAATCTGGTCAACTGTGTTCATAGATATATATATATATCTACGAGAGTTTGTTTGTTGGCTTTCTGTATCTCTGATTTGTTCAAAAAGACAATGTAACTATGGAACATATATCTTCAAGATAAACCAAAATATGTTGAATCAACCAAGGACCTAATCCTATTAAATTGAAAACTACGTCCTCTTATTTGGTGTCAATTGTTTTGAAATAGAATTTGATTTTTACAAAATGATGTTATATTTTGGGCTTAAAAAGTATTTCATTGTGCTAATTGTTGATTTAATTAGGATTTAACTTATTTACCACCTGAGGCAAAGATCAAGGCAACAGTTTGACTTCTCTCGTTTTGATCGGTCCCAATTTAAAAAAGATTCAAAATCGAGCAACATAATCTTTGATTCGATAAATCGAGACTTGGTAGCAAAAAAATCAAAACTTTGTAATTGTTTCAGAATGAGTTCGTCGCTACGACTGTGGTTTGCTACAGTACTCGTGCTTACACAGCTCATCAATGGAGCTCTGTGTTGGGGAAAAGAAGGCCATTACACCGTCTGCAAAATAGCCGAGGTAAAAAAAGAAAGGATTTTTGTTTAATTAGATTCTGAGCTCGAACCCTAAAAAGTTGCTGATTTTACGAAATTTGAGAACTTTATTACCAAATTGAAGATCAATTTAGCTCTATGACTTTTAAACTTACTCTAGGAGATCACTGTTTTGGTAGAGTCTAGCTAAAAACTATAGCTTTGATTGGGATTGAATGTTTCTGCAGACAAGATAGTATCTTTTGTGATATCTCTGATAATGCCATTTTTTCAATCCTTAGAGCTACTTTGAAGAAGAAACTGTAGCTGCAGTGAAGAAACTTTTACCTGAATCAGCTGATGGAGATCTAGCATCTGTTTGCTCATGGCCTGATGAGATTAAACACCATTGGCAATGGAGATGGACTAGCCCTTTGCACTATGTTGATACACCTGATTACAGATGCAACTACGAGTATTGTCGTTCGTTTATTCTTTCCTTCTTCCAATTGCTTACTTGTTTTTCCTGTTTTCGTATCCGAAATCCAATCTTTATGTTGTGGTCTTTGTGAAGGGGATTGCCATGATACTCATAAGCATCAAGACCGTTGTGTGACTGGAGCGATTTTTAATTACACTATGCAACTTATGTCGGCTTCTGAAAACTCGCATACTATAGTCCACTGTGAGTGAGATTATAGTGAATCTGATTCTAAAGCTTCAGTTTGAGTTCTATGGAGCATAGAGTCGTGACTAGCTTTTGTCTGCAGACAACTTGACAGAGGCTCTAATGTTCTTATCACATTTTATCGGAGATATTCACCAGGTAAATCTCTTTGCCATTTAAATGAACTATATCAGAACAAGTTCTGTATCTGAATTATATGTAATCTACACAGCCCTTACATGTTGGTTTTCTGGGAGACGAAGGTGGAAACACGATAACAGTCCGCTGGTACCGTCGCAAAACAAATTTGCACCATGTAAGTGTTTGTTATGGATCATATCTATCCTATCTTTCCTTATTGGATGAACCTCGTAACTGAAACGTTCTAAAGTTTATGTTCTTATGATCTTCCATTGATGAAGGTCTGGGATAACATGATTATTGAGTCTGCTCTTAAAACATACTACAATAAAAGTCTTCCTCTCTTCATTCAAGCACTTCAAACCAATCTTACGGTACGATCTTACTTTATGAAGCTCCGGTGCCAGTATGTAATAACCAATCAACTCATATTGATTATTTGCTTAAACTGTTGTCTGAATATAGCATGGCTGGTCTAATGATGTTCCGTCGTGGGAGTCATGTCAACTTAACCAAACGGCCTGTCCAAATCCGTAAGCATACAGATATATCATTTTCTTTCAAGAATCAAGATTAGTATATAATTAGACTTTTGCAGCGGACCAGCGGTAGAAAAACGAATAATATTTTGTGTTAAGAGAGATCTAGAAAGTTGATGAATAGCAGAGAATTCTGGTTGTAGCTTTCATATTTTTTTTCCTAATTACATCATTGTTGATTCAATACGGTTCTGTATGTGTTCAGGTATGCATCTGAAAGCATAAATCTAGCCTGCAAGTATGCCTATAGGAACGCTACCCCAGGGACTACTTTAGGAGGTATACTCTCTCAGCATTGAATTCAAAGTTTCTAGGACATATTAGCTTATTGAACAATCAGTATCCACTCTGAAACAAGATCTTAGCTTTCTTTACTCATACATCTCAGTTATAGACTTGTATGCAATACTGTGATCTTCGAGACTTTCTCTCATGTTTGTTCTGCAGATGATTATTTCCTCTCTCGGTTACCCATAGTGGAGAAGAGACTTGCACAAGGTGGAATACGCTTGGCGGCCACTCTAAACCGTATCTTTTCTTCTAAACCTAAGCATGCTGGATCATGAAACTGAGAAAAATATCCCCAAGAACCATATGCACTCACTCTGTTAGCTCCTTTAGATCATGTAATGCTTAGTTAAGTTTATGGAGAAGCAATGCTTTCTTACTTCATATCTTTGTTTTTTTAGTCACCCAACAACCAAATAACACGTAAAATCACAATGAATTTGCAAAGAAAATATATATGTTGTGTAAATTATTAATAAACACAGTTTTACTGAAATGTTAAACAGCTCGAAAACTTCCAGTTGCTTGCTTGGGTCGAGACTCGCTTTAAATGATTCAACAGTTGCTTGGGTCGAGACTCGCTTTATACATTTTGAGTAAACAAATATAACGCGACAAAATAAAAACTATTATTTTTTTGTTTGTTGTTATTCCACCAAAATGAATACATAGTACACTAAAACCCTCACAAGGTACCATCAATGGGATTTTAATCTCATTGGCCCCTTTGGCCAAAATCAATTTTTGAAAAACCCCTACTTATTCTCACTACTCCCTCTCCTTCCCAATTTTTTCATAAACCAACTCTACCCCTTATCCCTTTAATTCTACATTTAATTTAATATAAACATATTTTTTATCAACCAATCAAAAATTTTCTCTCTCTTCTCTCATTAAAAAAACGAACCTACCAAATGTCTCACCTTTTACAACATTAAACGTAGGAACGTACGAGACTTTCTTCTTCTTCTTCTTCTTCTTCTTCTTCTTCTTCTTCTTATTCTTCTTCAACAGCTCCGACGTTGCAGCTCCGACGTTCTTCTTCTTTTTCTTCTTCTTCTACTTCTTCTTCTTCTCCATCTACCATTAAAGCTCACCATTAAAGCTTGCATCTCCAAAGACATATTTCTTCTCTTCTTCTTCTTGTATTCCCACCATACTGTAAGGTAAGTATACTTTTTCTTAGTGTAGTATGATTAAGTTGAATTCGTAGCTTGAATAGGGTTATGTGTTGAAATATTTTAGGATTGCAGATTTGGGACAACTGAAACCACTGGGTACAAGTAAGTAGTTACGGAAACCCTAAGTTTGGTACAACTGGAACAAATTCGTACAACTGTAAGGTAAGTATACTTTTTCTTAGTGTAGTATGATTAAGTTGAATTCGTAGCTTGAATAGGGTTATGTGTTGAAATATTTTAGGATTGCAGATTTGGGACAACTGAAACCACTGGGTACAACTAAGTAGTTACGGAAACCCAAAGTTTGGTACAACTGGAACAAATTCGTACAACTATGTTGATGGTCTACTACGAAAATTGTGAAATTATAGGCCGTTTTTTCTCTCTGTTTTTTTCAGGGACAATGAAAAGGAATTCAGTCATACGCTTTGCTTATGACGGATATTATACAAGTATCGGAGAAGATGTACATTGGATTTCTAACGGAGAAGATGAAGAAGTGTATTCTTTTCTTATGAATAAATCGAAAGGGGAAGTATCATATGTTAAGATGGTTGAGAAGATTTGCAGGAAGAAAAAGGTAGATGAGGCTACGACAAAGCTGAGAATTAGTTACTTTCCCTTCACATTGAAAGGACGTAAGCTAAGACCAAATTATATTCGGGATGATGAAGATGTTGTGTGTTATTATGAGGATGTGAGTGAAGAAGGGTTTAGAAGTGTATTGCATGTCGAAGTGACCAATGACGTTGAACAAAATCAGGGGATCGATGAAAATGAGGGGTTTGATCAAGTTTCAAGTGAGGATTTGGTAAGAGGATATGTTGCAAATAATGAAGATATTCCTCTAGTTGGTGGAGCGGATGATAGTGGTGGTGGTGTCCTTGCTATGTACGTTGGAGAACCATCACAACAATATCCGGCGGTGGTGGAAAATGAAGATAGAGTTGTAGAAGGGAATGCATCCAGAATTATTTTATGGGAATTGTTTGTATTGGTTTTGTTTGTGAAACTTATATGTTTTAGCAGGTACAACTATGGTTAATTTCCTTTTCGTATCTGTGCAAATTTTGTCAGTCTGGATACAACTAAGTACCACTGGTACAACTAAGGTCTAATGCCTTGGCCAATTTTCAGAATTTTATATAATATGAAAATTTGAAACCAAATTAAAAAAAACTTTAAAAAGGCATATACGATGGTAATGTAACTACACAACAAGTTTTTAACAAAAAATTTCATACTTTTAAAAAATACTAAAATTCTTACTCAAAATCCCACATTCATGCACTAACAGCCTTATACTTTCATGGTTACTTTGTAGATTTGAACTAAAATTTTATAAATTTTTGAAATACTTGTATTTTGATAAATATAAATGCACAGATACAAATAAATGGTATTTTTATGAGGCAATATCATCGGTTCCACCAACAAAAATTAAATTAGAGTTGAAAACAACTAGATTTACTAAAATCTATATATTGTACAACTGTGAGCAAAAATGTGCAACCAAGTACAACTGTACAACTATGAACAAATTTGAGCTATTATTTAATAATTTTTTTCAAAATAACGGCGCAAGGTAACAACCAAGTACAAATTTTTTTCAAAATAACGGCGCCGTTTTTCAAAATAACGGCGCTATTATGTCAGATTTTTTTGATTAATTTATTTATTTTTTTATTTTTTGGTTAATATATTTATATTCAATACTTAAAAATATTAAGATTCAGATTCATACCTAATCAAAATACATAAACCCAGAAACATAGTTGTACCTAATCGTACCAGTTGTACAAAATCACAGATTCATACCTAATCAAAATACATAAACCCAGAAACATAGTTGTACCTAAACATAGATTTATACATCAACATCACACACCAGAATACAAGCGATACTCATCATCAGAGATCAAAATAGGAGCCAAACTCTTCTCTTGCTCTATCTCCTTCTCCTTTTCCTTCTCCTTCTTCTCATGCTCCTGCTCCTTCTCCTTCTTCTCATGCTCCTGCTCCTTCTCATGGTCAGACACATCATTCTCCAAAGACGGTTCGACTCCTTGATCTTCCATGACATCATCCACTGCAGCTGCTATCTCTGAATGCTTTGGATCCGATTGCTTTTGTCTTTTGGAACTTCTAAGCTCGGCAAATTGTTCACTTCTAGAACAAGATGGTACACTTTTAGAACTAGAAGCTCCTCCTCTGGTAATAGCCATTGTAAACCAACCTGCAACAACAAATAATTAGATCTCTACATAATTATAAGAAATCTGAAATATATTCAAATCCGATAAACACAATTTGAAATCCAAATTGTAAACATAAAATCCGAGTTATAATCATAAAAAAAAATCCAAATTCAATTAATCAATCTATTTAATTAAGTCAAACAAAATCAAACCTTAATCCATCTGTTTCAAACAAAATCAAACCTTAAAGAAAAACACCAAATTCAATCGAAAATCCAACATAACTCAATCGAACCCTATTAAAACCCTCTAAGAAAAAAACCCAAAATCAATCGAGAACCCATCTATAATCTATCTGTTTCAAAGAAAATCAAACCTTAATTAAACCCAACACAATCAATGGAACCATATAAACCCTCAAAGAAAAATCAAACCCTAATCAAAATCCCCAATTAAACAATCAATCAAAAACAAACAAAAAAAATCTTACAAAGAGAAAGAAGCACATGATTTCTCATCACGTTTTGAAATTCAAAGGAAGGTGGATGGCCAAAATTCAAATCCGAAAACAAGACAATTTGAAATCCGAAAATCCATCCACAAATCAAAATCTTCATGAATCAAAACCCAACACACTCACACAAAAGAAACGGGAAACATAACCTTGATTCTCGAAAATAAATCTTACAAAGAGAAGGGCGGATGAACTTGGATTTGGTTTGTGGCGGCGGATCCTTTGTTGGCGAACAAGAGAAGAGGGAAGAAGAAGAGTTTTATCGGCGATAAGAGAACGGCGAAGTCGGTTTGTTTTCGAGAGAACGGCGGAGGGTCTCGTCGGTTTGTCGAGAGAGAAAAGAAGAAGGAAAAAATGAAAATTAGGGTTAGGGCTTGAAGTTAGTCGAAGTTAGGAGAATTGGGAATTAAATATCCGAAATCCGACCCAACAAATATGGATCTAGATCCAAAGTTAGGTTGGGTCTGTAATTATATTGAAAAGCCCATATTTTTTTGGTCATTTACTATTTTCCTGAATTAAATTAAACAATTAAACTCTTCTTTCTTATAAGGGGGCTAAGTAGAAATTGATTCCATCCCGGGGGGCCGATGAGATTAAAATCCCCATCAATGGAAGTATACTCTTTTTATGAAGTAGAGAAAATAAAAAAAAAATGTTTCAAGGCTCTGCTTGAATCCGGCTCTCATTGTTCTACACTAAAACCCGCATTTTTTTTATTACTGTGTTGAAACTTTCTATTTTTGGAAAGAGAAAAGTGGAAGCTATTTCAGAGAATTTGTTTGTCGCTGAGAATGTGGATTGTGAGTATACTAGTGCTTACACAGCTCGTTCATGGAGCTCTCTGTTGGGGAGACGATGGTCACTACGCTGTCTGCAAAATAGCTCAGGTGAAAATTTGTTTTTACTTAGTTTCTAAAGCTTAATTAGCTCTAAAGATTGTCTATACAGTGAGCTCTGTGATTATAGATCTGAGAACTTTTATACTTGAGAGAGTGTTGTAAGATACTTGTACATAATTCTGTTCCCTACTGTGTTAGAAGAAGAGCAAAAAAGGAGGCTTTTTTTTTTTGTTTTTCTACTGTTTCATTGAATCTACTGTACACTCTCTTCTTTGGACCTTTGTGTATGATATCTGATAATACCAAGTTTTAATCTTTAGGGTTATTTTGAGGAAGAAACTGTAGTTGCTGTGAAGAAGCTTCTGCCTGAATCTGCAAATGGTGAGCTAGCAGCTGTTTGTTCATGGCCTGATGAGATAAAAAAGCTCCCGCAATGGCGATGGACTAGTGCTTTGCATTTTGCTGATACACCTGATTACAAATGCAACTATGAGTATTCTAGTAGGTCTTTTATTGATCTTTTCTTTCAAATTCATTTATGTTTCTGTTTGACTTTGGCATAAAAGTAGTATGTGCTTTTTTTTTGTCTTTCTTTGTAGGGGACTGTCCTAAAGACTGGTGTGTGACAGGAGCAATCTTCAATTACACAAACCAACTAATGTCTGCTTCTGAAATCTCACAGAGTATAGTCCGCTGTGAGTTGGTGTTTTTGTGAATTCTGACACTTTTGTGTGTGAATTACATGGAGCATAATAGTGTGACTTAGTGTTGTTTTTGTTTGTTTGCAGATAACTTAACAGAGGCTCTCATGTTCTTATCACATTATATGGGAGATATCCATCAGGTTAATTTGATCCTTTTTGCATATTCAGACTAATCATATTACAAACCAAGTGATGTTCTGAGTTATATGCATTTGAGGCTACTCTAATTACATTGCCGCTGATATTAGTATATAGTAAACAACACAGTATATATGGCTAATCTTTATTGTGGATTTGGATTTTTTCATAGCTTTTACATGAAGGTTTTATTGGAGATCTAGGTGGTAACAAAATAAAAGTCCACTGGTACAATCAGGAGACTAATTTGCACCGTGTAAGTGTTCTGTTGATGTTTAAACTTTATATATCTTTGCTGATTGTCTTGGCTGGGAACTGGAAAGATCTATAACTTTGGAAGTTACAAGATCAAGAAATTGTTTTCTGTCATCTTCTAATGATCCAACTTGTGAATCCCTTTAATTGTGAAGGTGTGGGATGACATGATAATTGAGTCTGCTCTAGAAACATACTATAATTCAAGCCTTCCACGCATGATTCAAGCCCTTCAAGCCAAACTCAAGGTATAATCTTACTTTACCATATCCAAGATAAAATTCAACTCACAGTTGTTTGTTTGTTTTAACTGCTATCTTCATATAGAACGGCTGGTCAAATGATGTACCTTCATGGGAGTCATGTCAACTTAACCAAACGGCCTGCCCAAATCCGTAAGCATATATAAAATGCTTATATAATTTTTTCATTTCCGTTGATGTTAATTTCAAGAATTCGCGGTGGAAGATCTGTAAAAGTTGCTGATTAACAGAGAAATATGGTTTTAGTTATCATATCAATTTTTCTTATATCACCATTCTTGATTCTGTATGTTCTTGGTGTGTTCAGATATGCTTCTGAAAGCATTGATCTTGCCTGCAAGTATGCTTACAGGAATGCCACCGCAGGGACTACTTTAGGAGGTATACTTACTCTCTATGAGCAATAAAAGACCAATATTCACTCTCTTTCCCTCTTTTTTTTTTTTTTATGTAAAAATGCTTTAATGTTCATTTTCTCTCATGTCACTTTCTGCAGATTACTATTTTGTCTCTCGGTTACCCGTTGTAGAGAAGAGACTTGCACAAGGCGGGATTCGCTTGGCGGCGACTCTTAACCGAATCTATTCTACAAAATCAAAACTTGCTAGAGCATGAATAAAGATCCAATTCCAATAAAATCACTTGAACATCCAAGAACACTCTTTTGTAATGTGTAATGGTAGTTAAGGTTATGGTTTGCTATTGTTCCTGAGTTTTAACTATAATAAGTATGAAACCAAACTGTCAACATCTAAGCACTGGGATTAAGGGTGGACTTGAAAAATCAAACTGAACAAAAACAAAACCAAGCTGTTTAAATTTGACTAAACTGAACTGAACCAAGCTATTAGCATGCATGCATCAAATCTTTGCTAAAGAAAAGCACATTTCAATGAAATTGGAAAGTTTGATCACGATTCATGACGATGATGAAATAGATATATATCGCGGAGTCTGACATCGAAAAGAAGAGAAGGAAACAGAGCCAAGGTCAACTTGCCGGACACCAAAATCAGTTAAGATTCATTGGTAAAAAACCCGGCAAGTCATCCTTGGCTCAACCTCATTCTCTACTCTTCCATGCAAGACCCTCTGATACAACTAGAGACTCATCATCATCATTATTATTTTTATTTTTTTTGGTATCAAATCATCATTATTTTTTCTCTACCTCTCTTATATAATAGGAGTCTTATTATATCTTGTGTTCTTGTCATGTCAAAACCTTTACTCGTGATGAAGGTATTTATAGGCATATTTGAAATGGGAAATGTGTGGACGGTTTAATTGAAAGTTTAAAGAATTTTACATATAATATATTATATGCAATAATAAATCCATGCATGGTTTTTAGACTATTAGTGCATGCAAGCAAGAGAATTTTGACCACAACCGTATATTGAAGAATATAATTACTTTAAAAGATTGGCTGACCTTATATTATCAAATTCGAATTAGAATTTTATGTGAATACTATTAATTATTCGCAAATCGCAATCGTACTCCAAAGGCATTGTACTGCGACATAAAAATCCACGTGTCGTATGTTTCTTAGGATTGGAATCATAGTCTTGTGGGGTTGATCAACAAAAGAAGTTATCGATTGTCGCAGAAACAATATAGAAAGATTCTTTTATAAATAGTCCTTTTTAAAACATTGCCACTAATTTCAATTTTTGCGGATAGAATGGAATATAAATTGAAAATTCCAGATTGTCCTTTTGAGTAGAGAATATATTACTTGGAGACTCATCACATTGTGAAGGGAGCACTAATAATAATACATGTGATTATGTGAATATATGAGCCAAAGCTATTACCTTCTTTTTACTTACTAAGTTACTAGAGTTTTGATTTGTGTTATAGCTCCCAATCGATTAATTGGGATAAACCGGTTTCATGCCATAATGATATTAATCTTCTCATAAACTCATTATCAATAAATCATTTGGCCAATAATTAGGAAAAGACCATCCAATTAGTGAGATCCCTAACAAAAAATGCATTAGCAGCTAAATCTTTACCATATAGATGGGGAAGATGAACAATGTTTATATAGGATAAACAAGAATTCGCTTATGACGATTACATGTTGTAGTTTCGGGTCTGGGAGATTACAGACTTTGGTCCAGAACCTCTTGGTATTCATAAAAAAAAAAAAAAAAATTAACAAGAATTTGTTTCTCTAAAAAAACTGGTACATGTTCCAAAAAATTGTGAACGTTTCCAAAAATTTTTGAAATTTTTTGGAAGCTTATGAGAATTTCATAAATTTGGAATAATTGGAAACATATTTATATTACTAAAACTCATTTATTATGAATTGCTAAAGAAAAGAAAACAGGTAGGCTAACTAAAGCGTTAAAGTTAACTTTGATTCTATTTACTGATGGATCACATCATAAGATTATGAAATATGTTTTTTTTGGAAGATGTTTTTTTTTTTAAAAGGAAAATTTGAGCCTATAACCATCAAAAATTTAATAATTCAACAAATAACCATAAAAAAATTGGGCTATAATATTTGGCATACATTGTGTAATATATACATATTTACCCTTGTTGTAATACACGTGCCTAACACATCATGTCTTTAACCTCAAACTATCATCTCTTTCTCTTCCTATTTTTTTTTTCTGCAACTTATTTCACGACCGCCATATCTCTCTCCGTCATCGCTAAAAAAACAGTCAACAACGACACCAACATAATCGTCTATATAAGTCCTCCTCCTTAAGGAGATGATGATGTAATCATCGGTAAAGGTTCGATCGTCCTATTCCGATGTTGTAAAATCTTATCCGATTGCCACTTTGTGTGGATGTAGAAGTCACAGCCATCGCGGAGTATACCATTAAAACGATTTGATTTGGTGGACGAGTTAACCCACTGTATCGGCCCGCTCCATGACCTTCGAACCTGTGAGTCATGGCAAGTAATCCTCGAAAAGAAAGTTCAATTCCCTATTGCAGCAAAAAGTATAAGGGGAGTAGATAAATATCTAATCAATATAGAGATGGATAGGAATGAAGGAGAGATAAAGAGAGACAGAGGGGAAGATGAAAATGGAATAGATTTGTTTCAAATGGAATAGATTTGTTTCAAATGGAATAGTATTGTAACTTAATGAAAAATAAATTCTTTTCAATTGTTTTCTTTTTATCTTTTAATAAACTTGACCTATATATATATATATATATATATATATTTTAACCTTATATTTATATTTTACAAATATTAATTTGAATTCATGATTGTTTAACATGGCAAATTAGGTTTTTCATGTTGTATTATTTTATATCCATTTAACTTGGTTTTTAATTTGGGTTCTCTATGTTGCATCACTTAAGATATAGTGTTTCTTCTTTGTCATGCCGCATGACTCATACAATTATTTAGTATTTTGTATTCTCTACTACCACCATCGTACTATATAGAACACTACAATGTTCTATTCTATTTTTCTAAATAAATTCATTATTTTCAATTTTAAAATTTATTGATATCATCAATTTTAAAAGATATGTTTTGGGTTTGGGTTTAGACGGTTGGATTTAGGGTTTAGTATTTTTAAGTTTAAGTTGATTCAAATATAATTTATAAGAAATAGTATAGTACAACATTTATTTTGTGTGATCCTATATAGTATAACATATGTTTTTTTGTTACAAAGACTATTCACCACGTAAAATGTTTATGTCCGTTTTGAAAAATTCACCCTATGATATATTCAGAAAAAAAATCTAAACTTTTTCTAATAGAACTGAAAATTTTAATTTATTTATTTTTAAGAACTTTTCTGAAAACAAATATGGGGGTAAACGTTTTTTGTTCAAAGTTCAAACCAAAGAAAAATTAAATAACAAAATGAAACTTAAATTCCCCTTCTCTAGCACCTATCACACGTGTACTACACATATGGATTGTTTTGTCATTTTACAATGTCTGATGGTTATTTCCTTTGTTTTCAAAATTAAGGTGCTATATTCTTAATTTGTTTATCAGATTTGGTTATACACTTAAATCACCCTTTTTTAAATCACATGAGTTTATTGATGATAGACAATTCTATTTTTACAAAAATATTTTGAAATATTGAGCATCTAAAACGTTTAAAATAAATTAGTCAAACTTTGATAACTATTTTAACTAGGCCTGGGCAAAAAACCCGGACCCGAAAACCCAAACCGAAACCGACCCGAAAAAACCGGTTCGGGGCGGGTACGTGTATTAGCTATTTACCCTATAGGGTCTTGTATTGTCGTACCCGTGGGTATAGGGTAAAACCCGATCCGAACCCGATACCCGAACGGGTACCCGATTACCCGAAATTACATATAAAATTTGAAATATATCTAATATTTGAGTTAAATATATTTATATCCAAATATCCGAGAGTAATTACCAAAAAAGAAATACATTTATATTTAAATACTTAAGACTAAATATATTTATACATGAGATATTTGTAAGTTTTTCGGATGTTTGGATAAAATTTTGGTTATTCGAGTAAAATTTTGGGTAAAAATTCGGATATTAGGATAAAATTTTGGATAAAAATCGGATATTCGAGTAAAAATTTCGGGTATTTGGGCAAATTTTTGGGTATTAGGGTAAAATTTTGGGTATTTGGGTATAATCGGGTATAATTTACCCGAACCCGACGGGTACCCAATTTTATCGGGTATTTAGCGGTTCTTAAATTTTAAACCCGAACCCGATTGGACCCGAACCGAAACCGAACCTATATTTTAGATTTACCCTATTGGGTCCTAAACTTCTCTACCCGAAGGACCCGAACCCGACCCGCGTACCCGATTGCCCAGCCCTAATTTTAACCACACCACATCTACTATACATTTTTGCAGCAGTTTTTGGGGTACCCAAATCGGGTCAAATTTGTTTAATTTTGACCCGGAAATCTTCAATCGGATCTTTCCTTAAATTTTGGCAAAATTAAAAAACGAAAATAATTAATAAAATCTAAAATATATATACTTTCTCAACTAATTACTATATTTAAACGCTTTATTTATGGTATATTCTCCACGATTTTTATAGATAAAGAAATTAAATATGATGATTTAATGCTAATATAATAAATTTGCACTAATTTCCTAAAAACCTCTCTATCTAATTTAAACATAAATATATGATTCTTATTTCACTTTTATTTGATCTTATATTTATATTATTTTAAATTATTATAAAATATATAAATAGTTAGTAAATTTTAGTTTTTTTTTTTCTGCATATGTTACAATTCAAATTTTTTAAAACGGACATATATTACTCAATCGATGAATAAAAATATGTGTGTAATCTATATTAACATTTTTAAGAACAAATTGAGCATTTAATCATGTCGTTATTTTATTCAGACCCGAAATTGAGTCATTCGGATCTTTCTTTAATTTTTACAATTATCTAAAATGGGACAGTATATCACGGGTGAAATCCTAATTAGTATTTTAAGATACAATTATAAATTGTTTTTACGGGTTGGTCCAAAAACACACACTAATTTAAAAATATACATGGAAACTATTTGAAAGCAACTTTCAAATTAACTCGAATTATATGACATTTAAATAAAAGTGTTATTAAAAAAATAACAAAATGATGTTTAATTTCATTTTAGATTATATGGTTGGACGGGTTTGGGTCAATATTAATACGAGACAATATACCACATGTGAAATCCTATAAATAACAAATCAAAATACAATTATACAATCTTAAACACTAAACAAAACAAATACAACTTAAATTTTTTTATTTTAGATACAACGCATGTGACCCGCGGTACACAACAAAAAATATTATACACAATAAATTCATCAATTTATTAAAATAAAAAAATCAAATAATTAACCCGCGGTGTACCGCGGGTCATATCCTAGTTTTTAAATATAACTATTTCACTTTTGATCCCCTTATTTTGCATAATCCGTTTATCTAGTATAAATACACTTGATCAGTTTGATACACTTGTTTTGCATAGCATGATCCATTGTGGTAAAGTCTAAAGGGTTTAGACGGTTGTGATGGTTAGAACATATAAATTCTTTTGTGAATCGCTTATTTATTGTTGTACACCAAAAAAAAAAAAAAAAAAAAAAATTATGCGGACCAACTATGTACCGCTTTTACTTAGAAATAAATTTGATCAAGTACTATTCTCCGATAAACCATTGACCATGGGTTTAATCTATTTTCTCCATTGCTTTGTCTAATTTTATCAAAATCAGCGATTTTGGCTTAGATTTTGTAAGGCATTCAGAGACCCAATTTCGATTCCGCGAATTATTTGGAGCTCTTCTACCAAACGGTATGTGGAATTTACAGGCGATTTCTAAACATGGGAAGTGGTATCAGACTGTTAAATCTCGTTCTTTAAAGCTTCCCTTTCCATGGGGCTTTTATCTGGACTTAAAGCTTGATAAAGGAAGGATCTTTGGAATGTTATCTCTCTCAATCTTAGCAAGTGACTGGTACAACTGTCAGCTTATTGATTTCGATTAAACAAATCAAACGTGGGTCTGTGTGTGGCAATAAACAATGGTGTTAATGGAGAGAGTAGAAATACAAAATCAAAGAAGCTAGGCAAAGATCGAAGCTTTCTTTGAGGTAATTCGTTGACCTTTTTTTTATTAATTTCTGCTTGAATCGTGTTGTTCTCTTTGTTCTACTAGAGATTGATCTGGACTTTATGTGATTGTTGAGAAATTGAAAGCTCTGTGTTTCAGAATGAGATTGTCCTTGAGATTGTTGGTTGCCACTGTACTCGTGCTTACACAGCTTCTCCATGGAGCTCTCTCTTGGGGGAAGGATGGTCACTACACTGTCTGCAAAATAGCCCAGGTTAATTTTCTTTATTAGTTTCTGAGATGTTGCTCTAAAATGATCTGAAATGAACTCTGTGAAAGTGTTGTAAGATACTTGAAGATTGATTTAGCTCTAGAGAACTGTGAAAACAAAATCATCTAGGAGCTTTCTTTATTAGTTAGGAACTTAGGATGGAAAAAATGTGGTTTTTTTCAGGAGTTTGAGATTGGATTTTGCTTTAGACTGATAAGGTATTAGCTTTTGTGATAAGATGATTTCAATTTCCAAATCCTCAGGGATACTTTGAGGATGATACTATTGCTGCAGTGAAGAAACTTCTGCCTGAATCTGCTGATGGTGATCTAGGTGATTTTTGCTCATGGCCTGATGAAATTAAAAAACTCTCGCAATGGCAATGGACTAGCGCTTTGCACTATGTTAACACTCCTGAAGACAGATGCAACTACGAATATTGTCGTGGGTTATCTTTTCCTCCAACTTCAGACATATTTCTGTTTCCATTGAATATCTATCTGCTAAATTCAACTCTATGTCCTTTTGTCTTCTGTGAAGGGGACTGCCATGACACTCATAAGCATAAAGGCTGGTGCGTGACAGGAGCAATCTTCAATTACACAAACCAATTAAAGTCTGCTTCTGAAAACTCACAGAATTTAGTCCACTGTGAGTTAGATTTTAAGTTAATCTGATACTTCTTTTAATGTTTCAGTTTACTAATTTGTGTGCGAGTATTTGGAGCATAATACTTTGACTTATAGGTGTTTTTTTTTTCTTTCTTTTGCAGAAAACTTGACAGAGGCTCTCTTGTTCTTGTCACATTATATGGGAGATGTTCATCAGGTTACACTTTTTTGCAAATTCAGACGAATCATAGATTTAGAACCAAATGCTGTCAGAATTATAGTTATATGCATTTGAGGCATCTTACACTGCAGCTTTGATTAGTTTATTGTAACAACACAAAGTATGGCTAATCTTTGTGTGGATTTTGATTTTCACAGCCCTTGCATACTGGTTTTCTTGGAGATCTAGGTGGTAACACAATAATAGTCAGCTGGTACCATAACGAAACAAATTTGCACCATGTAAGTGCTTTGTTTTTGGTCATCTTGATGCTAAAAAGTATCTTTCCTGACTCGGAACGATCTTAACTTGAAGGTCTGGGATAACATGATAATTGACTCTGCTCTAGAAACATACTACAATTCAAGCCTTCCACGCATGATTCAAGCCCTTCAAGCCAAACTCAAGGTACAATCCTGCCTTCTGTAATCAGCTTCAGCAAGTTATAGCCATATCCAAGATAAAATCAACTCACAGTGAGTGTATGTTTTTACGGCTGTCTTAATATAGAACGGCTGGTCAAATGATGTTCCGTTGTGGAAGTCATGTCACTTTCACCAAAAGGCCTGTCCAAATCGGTAAGCATCTATATATCTCTGTTAAGTTGCTGAATAGCAGAGAAATCTAGTTGTCGTTATCATATCATTATTGATTTTCTATGTTCTTTGATGTGTTAAGGTATGCTTCTGAAAGCATTGATCTCGCCTGCAAGTATGCTTACAGGAACACTACTCCAGGGACTACTTTAGGAGGTATACTCACTCTCTGAGCATTGAATTCAAAGTTTCTATCTACTCTAAAACCAGATCGTAGCTTTTTTATGTTATCATGTACACGACTTGATCTGCTGCTTTCTATGCAGATGAGTATTTCCTTTCTCGGTTACCCGTTGTAGAGAAGAGACTTGCACAAGGTGGGATTCGCTTGGCAGCGACTCTTAACCGTATCTTTTCTGCAAAACCGAAGCTCGCTGGATTATGAAAGTAAGAAAAAGATCTTAGAGAATCCACTTGGATCATCCAAGAACAACTCTTTTAAGTGTTTTTTAAACACTGTGAATGGTTGAGTGAACCTCCAAAAGACTCTCTCATTCTTCTTTTCCATATATCTCAGCATTAAACATTTACCAAACAATAACAAAGCACACTAGCTAATGGATATAACAATATATCTCTTACGTAAAAATTAAAGAAATAGAGTCAACGATTGGTCAATGTTCAGTTGTTCACCGTGAAGACGAACTTAACGGAAGAAGCTAATTCATACTTTCCATTTTTGTTTTTGTTTGTTTTCAATTTTGTTATTAGTTTCCTTTTTCCTTTTCAAAAAGGAAAGTTTAACAAAAAGAAAACAAAGAAAGAGCAAAATACATAAAAGAAGTTTGATATCCTAATGAGATTAGGAACCCTATATAAAGACTTCTGGTGTGAGATCGGTGGGGAGACATAAAGAAGCCTAAGCTCAAAAAAAAAAAAGGTTTCTTACGTGAAAAGCAACCTTTAAACCCTAAGAGAGCAAAAAAGCAAATCCGATACACAACTATATATGGCTCTCGTATGCACTTGGACATCAATGAACGGGGCAGAGCCACCTTTTGAAAGAAGATCAATGAACGGAGAAGAGCCACCTTTTAAAAGAAGACGGGTGAATTTTCTTATGCTTCCTGATGATTTGGTTTTAAACTGTTTGGCCCGCATCTCAAGATTGTACTATCCATCTCTCTCTTTAGTATCCAAGAGATTCGGCTCTATCCTTACTTCAATGGAGCTTTACCAGACCCAAACTCTCTTAGGCCGCACCGAGAGTTGTTTGTACGTGTGCTTACGGCAGAGTACATGTGCACCAATAAGTTGGTTCACTCTTTGCCGCAAACCAAATAGCTCAAAAAGACTTTTGGCCCCAATTTCATATCCTAAATCTGCATCAAGGTCGGATTGTGTAGTGGGTGTCGGTCCTAATATCTACGCTATTGGCGGATTCAGTAATGATAATGAATATAGTCCTTCGTCTAGCGTCATGGTCATGGATTGTCGTACTCACACATGGGGTGAGGCCCCAAGAATGCAGGTAGCCCGTGTGTTCCAATCTACTTGCGTCTTTGATGGAAAAATATATGTAATAGGAGGCCGCGGAACTCTCGATTCAACGAAATGGATGGAGGTTTTTGATACAAAAACCCAAACTTGGGAGTTTTTGCAATTCCCTAGCGAGGAGAAGATATGCGAAGGCTATAAGTACGAGAGCATAGTGTATGAAGGAACCGTCTATGTAAGGTCTCATGATCAAAATGTGACTTACAAGCTGCATAAAGGTAGATGGATAGAGGCAGACTTAGCGATGAATAATGGATGGAGTTGCTCATCATCTTTTTGTGTGATAGAGAACGTGTTCTACTGTTGTAATAGAAATGGTAACGGTATGATCGATTGGTATGACTCTGAAAAAAAAGTATGGGCAACTTTGAAGGGGTTGAAAAGATTGCCTAAACTTTATGGGAATGTTAAATTGGCAGATTATGGCGGAAAAATGATGGTGTTGTGGAAAAGAGTTTCGTATGTTATGACCCGTAAGAAAACAAAGATTTGGTGTGCGGAAATCACGATTGAAAAACGCAAGGATGGAGAGATTTGGGGGATACTAGAATGGTTTGACGTTGTATATAAAGCCAATGTGGATGAGCTACATTTAGAGCATGCTCTTGTTACTACCATTTGATGAAATCTTAGTCATGTAATTGTCAACATTGAATTTTGTTTTGTTCTTTTTTTTAGTGAAATTTTTCCGTTCGTTTATTTTCAAAAAGTCAACTATTGGTCAACGTTCATGGAAAAGTTAAAAGTTATAAAAAAAAAAACTGAGTTAATAATAATATCGACATATTCGCCGGGAGCGAGACGGAAGGCGTGATGGAAGAGATACAAACGCAGAAGAAGGAAGAACAAAAGCACCGTGAAAATGAAGAAGAAGAGGAAGAAGGACCTCCTCCGGGATGGGAATCTGCAGTTCTTGCTCCACCAATCGCCACCGTCACCGCCGCCGTAAACCCCAATCCCACCACCGTCGAAATTCCCGGTATTTAGGGTTTATCGATTTGCTTCCATTTGTTGGTACAGTCTGATCAAATTAGAGATTTTTAGTGGATTTTGTAGGCTTTAAGAGAAAACCCATTTTATGATTTGGCGAATGATTAGAGATTTTCTGCAAAAAAAATTTGGTTTTTGGGGGTTGCAGAAAAGGCGCAAATGATATGTGGATCTTGCAGGCGTTTACTTTCGTATCTAAGAGGATCCAAACATGTCAAGTGCTCGTCTTGTCAGACTGTTAATCTCGTTCTTGAAGGTTCTTCCATGGCTTTTTATCTCTTATTTCATTTAACTGAAAGCTTGTGTTGATTATCTCAGTCACTTGAAACTGTTAAGGAACAATCTTGGTCTCGTTTTACTTAGCGTGTGTGAATGATAAATCTATATTCCGTTGTTTGGAGAATCCTCAAGTGTAATCTTTCTTAGACTAAATGAGTTTGGTTCTTAGATGAAACAAGCAAGAATAATCTTTGGCTAGGATTCTTCTCTTAAGCTTTTGTGAACTATTTTGGTCTCTAGTCTACTCCATCATAATGTCTCCTTTATAGACTATTTCTGTGATCTTTTACTCTTACCACTCTTGGGGAAATTGTGTGATATTAAGACTAAGATTGTTTCTTCTAGCTTTCGAATTACTTGGCCTCATTATTTATGAAAATAGCCTTCTCCTCTTATCGGTTTTGGGCTCGTCGTTCTTTGTTTGCAGCTAACCAGGTTGGTCAGGTGAATTGCAACAATTGCAAACTGCTCCTGATGTATCCTTATGGAGCTCCATCTGTTAGATGTTCCTCCTGCAATTCTATCACAGATATCAGTGTATGTAACCTTTTAATTTTGTTTAATTTCCTCTCCCAAGCATTTATACATGGAATTGTTTTGGTTTCTTGGTGATAGATAAAGTTAAAAGCTAAATCTGATTGAGTTCTTAAAACCCTTGTACTGATCCTTTAAATATCTGAGTCAGAAATCATCTGATGAATCAATTAAAATATACTGTGTTGTATTTCAGGAGAACAACAAACGACCTCCATGGTCTGAGCAGCAAGGACCACTCAAAAGTTTAAGCAGTATCCGGTGAGCAGAGAATTAAACTTGAACCGGCTTTTGGTCAATTTTGAACCGGTTTCATGACTAAAAAAACTTGTAATAATGTTAAAGATAGATGAAACAAAATCACCATTAGTAATCTCATTGAATTCCCATTCTTTCAGATATTACTTGCTCACTTTTCATTCACTGTTTTAACTTATTTATGCTTTAGTGGTCCGTTAAAATGTGAGCATCCATAGAAAAGTTGATATTCGTATTGGACCAATATAAACAAACACAGCTCTCAATACATATAACCAAAATTCATATTTCACAGGTGAGACAATTAACTAGTAGTCTACTTGGCCGAATTTGGTCGTATAAATAGCAAACAAAACACGGACTCTTATCCAAATATACGTAAAGAATTTACACTAGTACTAGTATAAAAATAAAATTAATGGTGGGGTCGTCGAGAGACCCAACAAGAGCTGTGTGTGGGTGAACCAACTTGTCAACAAAGCCAATTTAATGAAATCAACCCTAAATTTAATGAAACCTTGGACAAAACTTACATAGTTAACCAGTGTATCTTTTAAATCAAACCTGCATAGATTTTGATTTAAGACTTAAAAGTCTAAAATGATATGGTTGGGTTGAATTAATGAGTGGGCCTTATTGAGCAGATTAAATATGAACACCATCTCACTAGTTTACAAATGTTATCAATAGTTTTTATATATGATTGATAAATAAATAAAAAAAGTAAAATAAAATAAAAATCTCTCGTAAGGCCTAAATTGAATTTTCACCCAACTTTCAAATGATGTAATTTGAAATGGGTTTTCACCAACTTTCGGTAATTAACCTTTAGTTTATCTTGAACACATCTGTCAAAAGTCCTCCACTATCAAATAGTATAATTTAAACTATCTGTCGCTCTTTGAATAACACATGCTTAAATTAAATGTCGCCAACGCCAAGTGCTGCTAAATAAAAATATTTGAACAGTCTCTCAACTAGTTACGTAAGTAATACAGAGAGACACAAGAGTCTGTCTTCTTTGCAAAGTAGTAGTACGGGCATTAAAGTGATCTTATTACACACTAAAGTCCACGAATCATTGTCTTAACTGTATTTTCAGACCTCCCAATTTAATGCCCTTCTCTATCTTTATATATCATGCATCCAACTTTTTATTAAATCTCCTAAACCAAACCCACTAAATAACTACACTACCAAAAATGTTCACTAAATCTATCCTTTTGGCTTCTCTTCTTATCATCATCTTCATCTCTGCTACTGAATCAGCTCGTCAAAAGAGCGGGAACGATGGTTTAGGATTCGGTGGAATACCCGGATCCGGATATATACCCGGGTTTGGAAACGGGTTTCCGGGGACTGGAGTTGGTGGAGGATACGGCGGAGGGTTTGGTGGTCCTAGCGGTGGATTTGGGAAAGGAGGTGTGGTTAGACCAACTGTGACTTGCAGAGAGAAAGGACCTTGTTACGGCAAGAAGCTTAGGTGTCCTGCTAAGTGTTTCAAATCTTTCAGCCGTTCCGGGAAAGGATACGGCGGTGGTGGTGGCGGTGGAGGATGTACTATGGATTGTAAGAAGAAGTGTATCGCTTACTGTTAAGATATAATAAAAGATCACATCTTTATAATATATAGTCATTATGATGATATGATTATATATTTGCTATGTTATAGCTATAGATTATGATCATGAGGATCCTTTTGTCTCGATTTGATTTGTAGTGGTTTTTATATGCATAATATATGGTTGTGATGAATAAATGAGGAAACTTTACTGTTTTCTTTATTTGTGTGTTTGTTGTGTAAGAGATTCTAAGTTATTTTTGATTTGATCTTTTATTATGATACTCTTGAATCTTGATTTGACTTTTTGAGTTTAGATTTGCAACATATTACATAAGAACAAATACCATGAGCATCATATTGCTCTTTTGATTACATCGAACATATAATGAGTTTTCTTGTTAAGGCTTGATCGTGATCTCTGTCTTAACAGAGACAGGGATTGTAACATCATGAACACCATCAGTCCATGTTAAGCTTCCAAAGAAGTAGCCACTGTTGACTTTATGACTCGTTTTAGCCTTAACCGAGAAAGTGAGTGATCTCTTAGCTGCAGAGTTAAACACGAGTGTGGTTGGGTTCACGGTGAGAGTTATACCGAGAGGAGGCTTGATCACGGCTTTATAGACTGACTTGATGGGTCCAACATTGGTTACAGTTCTTGTGAGTGTGACCTCTTTTTCAAGATTTGGAATTGTGATCGAAGGTAAGTTGATATCAAGCATTGATGGCTCAGGAATTGGGCACTTAGTCTTTTTACCGAGCACACGAGAGATTGAAGAGTCGTTGTAACCCGCGGAACACATATAATTGATGTAATCGTTGATCCCCATATCGTAGACAAGTCCGGGTTTTGCAGCCTTTTCAGGGTTTACAAGTCCTCCTCCATAGTCAAATGAATCTGCAAGCTTCTTGTTTGATCCTTCAGCAAATATAGGTTCTCCAGATGGACTTGTCCTCCAAGCTTCAAAAAGTATAGATTAGTCGGTAACGGTTTGTTTATGAAAAAGAAGAATAAGAAGAAGCAAGAACCTGTTGTGACCAAAGCTGATCTCATTGCAGCAGGAGACCAATTAGGGTGTAGAGATTTTAGGAGAGCTATGATTCCAGAAACAACAGGAGTCGACATCGATGTCCCTGAAAGAAGTCCAAATCCGTTGTACGCATAAGGATCAAGCGAACTCACTGCCGCGAGTATGGTAACACCTGGAGCTGCCATATCAGGCTACAAAGTAAAAGATGACAAGATATATAACAAGTTTACTCAGAAAGGATTCAAAATTTAAAGTAAACATAGATAAGAGACACAATGGCCTTATAACCTTGAGAATGGCTGGTGAAACCGAATTAGGCCCTCTAGATGAGAATGCAGCAACCTTAGTCGTTGCAGGCTGACCGGTCAGTGTCGTAGCAGCACTAATTCTCACCGTCGGAGATCTGTTGGTTTGACGGATCAGTGATGTATATATTCAAGAAATGTAAATGGACTTACGAAACAGAGTTTTCTAGGCGTCAAGATAGAGACCTGGTAGTACGTATGTATTGTAAAATGTCAGTTCCAATCTCATAATCTGTGAAAATGTAAGAATTGTATGGAGAAAGACGATCATCAGGGTTATGGGCTAAGATGACTGCTGCTACACCTCTCCCTGCAATTGAAGAAGGGTGAGCTTTATGGAAAACAAGAACTGTTTTCCCCTTCACATCAACATTATCATCCAAGAAAGCTAAACCCGTTGAAATCTCCGGTCCAGTCAACAAAGATTCAGCCTAATTAGATACCAACAAAAACAACAAGTTAATTTTAGCTTTTGGTAAAAAAAAGGTCGAAACTTTATACTATTTTCTCAAACTAATTTGAGTATTTTGGTATGAAACGTACGAAGAAAGTTTGGTTATTCCCAAGTGTGATCTTTGTAGGAAAAGACCGGTCAAGAGTAGTTGCAGCAACATTCAAGAGCCATGGAGCAGCATTGCAAATAGTCTGAGCACCAGGCCCATCATTGCCCGCCGCAACCACAACTGTAATCCCTTTAGCCACCGCATGAAAAGCCGCGATAAAGTCGACGTTATCGACCTCAGAATCCTCGGGAATATGGCTCCCAATAGAAACCGACAAAACATCTACCTGATCATGTATAGCATCATCAAAAGCCTTCCACATATCAGCAACTGAGCATATACCGCCCAGTACATTCCAACAGACCTTGTATGAGGCTATGCGGGCCCGAGGGGCACCACCTCGGACCGTACCTGATAAGAATCCCACATCCATTATGAAGGAAAATAAATAATGTCTTATAAAACCGGTAACTTCACTCTTAAGTTAATTTTTCAGTGAATAAAATCCAAAGGTTTTTGCTATATCAGTACCTCGGGCTAGACCATAAAAACTTGCGTTGGGAACGAATGAGCCACCGGCTATTGTGGCTGTATGCGTGCCGTGACCAATTGCATCTCTGTTGGATTTGAAATCTTGGATGATTGTTCTGTTAAATTTTCCTCCAAATAAAGCGCTTAGATAGTACTTAGCTCCTATCAGCTTGTTGTTGCAATGTATTGTGGCGTTAAACTGTTCTCCTGATTCACATTTTCCTCTCCAACGCTTAGGTATTGGTCCAAGACCTTGATCGTTGAATACCTTTGACTCTGGCCATATCCCTGCATATACCGATATACATGATGTAAGCCAAGGAGAGAGAGAGAGGATTAGATTTAGAGAGCGAGAGAGAGACCAGTATCAACAACGCCGATGATAGCTTCACTTCCCATGTTGGTGTCATGAAGTAGACCTTTTGAAGATGATGATGAAGAAAAAGAAGTTGGCATTGGAGAGAGGCCAAGATGATCCCAAGTTCTTGTGGTTTTCAGTTTCAGAATCCGGTTTGGTATAACATGGATTACTTCTGGATGCTCTGTGTTTATTTACAAGATTCTGGTTTAGGAACTTTTTCTTCACAGTCAAAAGATATGAATTTTCCTCATATGTGAGTTTGAGTTTTGTTGAGTACCTGAGATTTTCTTTGCTTGTGAAGATGTGAGAAGCGCCGCGAAACCAGAGAATCCATGTTGGTAGCTGTAGATCATTGAGTTATGTGCGTCTTCTTTGCTGTATCAAGTAAGAGAAGAGCTCATAACAAAATAAAGGAAAAAAACAGAGGAGGGTCCAAGTTCTGTGAAGAAAGAGAGTATGGCCAGAGGAGTTTCTTGGGTTACAAGAAACATATGTAATATATTATTATCAACCTATTAGATGTCTTGAATATATCATGGAGATAAAATTATCAATATAAAAAGTTTAATGAACCGACACGCGATATCGGTATTAGTCTATATATTGATATTGGCCTTCTTTGAAAGATGATTAAAGTAAGTACCTTTGAAGAAGTGATTCAAGCATTTGATGATGAGAAGCTGTGACAAGTTCAGGATCATCGTGTTCTCTTTCGCCAAGATACACTATATAAACCTAATAAATCCGGCAAAAAAACACCGGAAAAGTTTAGAAATATCAGTAAACTCTTAGCGATTTTCCCAAATAGAACACCGTTTTTTCTTTAGTTACATACTTTGCTGTTACTGTCTGAGGCTCCTTCAGCTGTGAGAAAACTCAGCTCTGTGTTAAGAAATAGGACCAAAGCAATTGCCAAGAGAAACACAAGTTTGGAACTTAGTAAAGAGTTCTCCATTTTCTGAAGTGAGAAGTGTGTGTGACTCTGTGGAAGAGAAGCTTTTTTATATATAGACATAGTGCATCTTTAGGAATGAACTATTACATTCGGATTTGGTTCGGATTCAATTAGTGGTTTATTCGACTTATAAATCTGGGTATGGTAATTCCGAATCAGACCGGTTTTATCTCTTGTGTAACGTTATATTATATCCCACCATAACTTTTGGCTCAGTTCTAACTCTTACAATTGTCGTCTTTCTTATTATTGGTGTCTTTCTTATTATAGATATACAAATAGACAAATAGTATACCTAATCATATTTCAGTTTTGTATAAGAGGACATCAATAATTTCTAAGTTGAGTATAAGAGGATATTAATAATTTCTAACTAGTATGTTAGGTGACTGTAATCAAGAAGTTGTTAGACCATCATTGACTGAATTACTCAATTTAGTAAAAACGATTATATTTTGAACTTTTGATATATATAGAAAACCGAAATATAGGATCACAGGAGAGCAAACCAATTCCGGTTTTTTTCGCATTTATGTGTGTATTAAAAGAGATCACATCTTTATAATATATAGTCAATTAGTCACTAGGATGATTATAAATTTGTCTCGATTCAATTTGTAGTAGTTTTTATATATGGTTGTGATGAATAAATGAGGAAACTTTATGGTTTTCTCTATTTGTATGTTTGTTATGTAAGAGAATCTTTGGTCTTTGTTATGATGATCTTGAATCTTGATTTGACACTTTGAGTTTAGATTTGCAACATATTACATAAGAACAAATACCATGAGCATCATATGGCTCTTTTGATTACATCTAACATATAATGAGTTTTCTTGTTAAGGCTTGATCGTGATCTCTGTCTTAACAGAGACAGGGATTGTAACATCATGAACACCATCAGTCCATGTTAAGCTTCCAAAGAAGTAGCCACCGTTGACTTTATGACTCGTTTTAGCCTTGACCGAGAAAGTGACTACTCTCTTAGCTGCAGATTTGAAAACGAGTGTGGTTGGGTTCACGGTGAGAGTTATACCGAGAGGAGGCTCGATCACGGCTTTGTAGACTGACTTGATGGGTCCAACATTGGTTACAGTTCTTGTGAGTGTGACCTCTTTCTCAAGATTTGGAATTGTGATTGAAGGTAAGTTGATATCAAGAATTGATGGCCCAGGAATTGGGCAATTAGTCTTTTTACCTAGCACACGAGAGATTGAGGAGTCGTTGTAACCCGCGGAACACATATAATTGATGTAATCGTCGATCCCCATATCGTATACAAGACCGGGTTTAGCAGCTTTTTCGGGATTTACAAGTCCTCCTCCATAGTCAAATGGATCTGCAAGCTTCTTGTTTGACCCTTCAGCAAATATAGGTTCTCCAGATGGACTTGTCCTCCAAGCTACAAAATAAATCGATTAGTCGGTTTGTTTATGAAAAAGAAGAATAAGAAGAAGCAAGAACCTGTTGTGACCAAAGCTGATCTCATTGCAGCAGGAGACCAATTAGGGTGTAGAGATTTGAGGAGAGCTATGATTCCAGAAACAACAGGAGTCGACATCGATGTCCCTGAATGAAGTCCAAATCCGTTGTACGCATCAGGATCAAGCGGACTCACTGCCGCGAGTATGCTAACACCTGGAGCTGCTATATCAGGCTACAGAGTAAAACATTACCAGATATTTACTCAAAAACGTTTAAACCCTTTGAAGTAAACATAAATAAGAGACACACTGGCTTTATAACCTTGAGAATGGCTGGTGACACCGAATTAGGCCCTCTAGATGAGAATGCAGCAACCTTAGTCATTGCAGGCTGACCGGTTATTGTCCTAGCAGCACAAATTCTCACCGTGGGAGATCTGTTGGTTTGAGGGATCAATAATGTATATATTCCAGAAATGTAAATGAACTTATCTAAGTATGTAATGGTGTTTTTTGGCATCAAGATAGAGACCTGGTAGTACGTATGTATTGTAAAATGTCAGTTCCGATCTCATAATCTGTGAAAATGTACGGTATCGGGTTGTATCGAGCAAGAACATCATCAGGCTTTTGGGCTAAGATTACTGCTGCTACGCCTTTCCCTGCAAATAAAGTAGGATAAGTAGTATCGAAAACAAGAACTGTTTTCCCCTTCATAACATTATCATCACTGTCTGAGTCCAAGAAAGCTAAACCCGTTGAAATCTCCGGTCCAGTGAACAGAGATTCAGCCTAAAAACGTACCAACAATAAACAACAAGTTAAAGAAAAACTCCAAACTTTTAACTATTTTCTCAAACTAATTTGATTTTTTTTGGGAGTAAAACGTACGAAGAGGGTTTGTTTATTCCCAAGTATAATTTTTGTAGGAAAAGACCGGTCAAGAGTAGTTGCAGCAACAGTCAAAAGCCAAGGAGCAGCATTGGTAACATTCTGAGCACCAGGCCCATCGTTACCCGCCGCAGCCACAACCGTAATCCCTTTAGACACCGCGTGAAAAGCCGCGATAAAGCTGAGCTTATCGACCTCGGATTCCTCGGGAATACCTCCCCCAATAGAAACTGACAAAACATCTACCTGATCATGTATAGCATCATCAAAAGCCTTCCACATATCAGCAACTGTGCATTTACCTTCGTGTCCCACTACATTCCAACAGACCTTGTATGAGGCTATGCGGGCCCGAGGGGAACCACCTCGGACCGTACCTGATAAGAATCCCACTTATGATGAAAACAAGATAATGTCTTATAAAACCGGTACCTTCACTCTTAACCTAACTTATTTAAGTGAATACAACAATCCAAAGGTTTTTATAGGCTTGGTTTGTGACTAAATTCTAATCAGTACCTCCGGCTAGACCATAAAAGCTTGTGTTGGGAACGGATGAGCCACCGGCTATCGTGGCTGTATGCGTGCCGTGACCAATTGCATCTCTGTTGGATTTGAAATCGTGGATGATTGTTCTGTTAAATTTTCCTCCAGTCGTGGCAAGTAGACCCCTTAGATAGTACTTAGCTCCTATCAGCTTGTTGTTGCAATGTATTGTGGCGTTAAATTGTTCTCCTGATTCACATTTTCCTCTCCAACGCTTAGGTATTGGTCCAAGACCTTGATCGTTGAATACCTTTGATTCTGGCCATATCCCTGCATATACATACATACATGATGTGAACCAAGGAGACAGATAGAGAGAGAGAAAGATTTAGAGAGCGAGAGAGGGACCGGTATCAACGACTCCGATGATAGTTTCACTTCCCATGTTGGTGTCATGAAGTAGACCTTTTGCAGATGACGATGAAGAAAAAGAAGTAGGAATTGGAGAGAGGCCAAGATGATCCCAAGTTCTTGTGGTTTTCAGTTTCAGAATCCGGTTTGGTATAACATGGATTACTGATGGATGCTCTGTATTTATTTACAATATTCTGGTTTAGGAACCAAAAATATTCAACGCTTAAAGATCTAAAATGTGAGTTTGAGTTTTGTTGAGTACCTGAGATTTTCTTTGCTTGCGAAGATGTAAGAAGCGCCGCGAAACCAGAGAATCCATGTTGGTAGCTGTAGACCAGTGATTTATGTGCGTCTTCTTTGCTGTATATATCATTAGGGACACAAGTAAGAGAAGAGATCATAACAAAACAAAAGAAAAAAACAGAGGAGGGTCCAAGTTCTGTGAAGAAACAGAGTATGGCGAGAGGAGTTTCTTGAGAGACAAGAAACGTATGTAATACATTATTATCGACCTATCAGATGTCTTGAATACATAATGGAGATAAAATTATAGATATTAAAAGTTTAATGAACCTTGTTTTGAAGATGATTAAAGTTAAGTACCTTTGAAGAAGTGATTCAAGCATTTGATGATGAGAAGCTGTGACAAGTTCTGGATCATCGTGTTCCCTTTGGCCAATATACACTATATAAACCTAATAAATCCGCCAAAAAAACATCGGAAAAGTTTAGAAATATCAGTAAACTCTTAGCGATTTTCGCAAATAGAAATTTTTTCTTTAGTTACATACTTTGTTGTTACTGTCTGAGGCTCGTTCAGCTGTAAGAAAACTCAGCTCTGTATTAAGAAATAAGGCCAAAGCAATTGCCAAGAAAAACACAAGTTTGGAACTTAGGAAAGAGTTCTCCATTTTCTGAAGTGGGAAGTGTGTGTGACTCTGTGGACTAGAAGCGATTTTATAGACATGTGTGATAAATAATCCGTCTCTAGGAATGAACTTTTGGTTAGATTCGAATTTGGTTCGGATTCAATTATTGGTTTATTCGACTTAATCTGGGTATGGTAATTCCGAATCTGACCGGTTTTATCTCTTATGTAACGTTGTATTATATCCCACCATAACTATTTGGCTCAGTTTTAACTCTTCCAATTGTCGTCTTTCTTATTATAGATATACGAATAGTGTACCTAATTATATTTCAATTGAGTATAAGAGGATATCAATAATTTCTAACTAATTGAGTATGTTAGGTGACTGTAATTAAGAAGTTGTTATATCATGATTGACTGAATTACTCAATTTAGTGTAGAATGATTATATTCTGAACTTTTGATATATATATAGAAGAGTCTACACCGAAATATAGGATCACAGGAGAGCAAACTAATTCCGGTTTTTTGCATTTATGTGTAAATAAAAATATCACATATTTATAATATATAGTCATTATGATGATTATATATTTGCTATGTTATAGCTATAGATTATGATCATGAGGATCCTTTTGTCTCGATTCATTTTATAGTAGTTTTTATATGCATGTATATGGTTGTGTGGAATAAATGAGGAAACTTTACAGTTTTCTCTAGTTGTATGTTTGTTGTGTAAGAGATTCCAAGAATCCAAGTTATTTGTGGTTTGATTTTTTATTATGATGATCTTGGATCTTGATTTGACACTTAGAGTTTAGATTTGCAACAAATTGCATAAGAGCAAATACCATGAGCATCATATGGCTCTTTTCATTACATCGAATAACGAGTCTTAACAGAGACAGGGATTATAACATCATGAACACCATCAGTCCATGTTAAGCTTCCAAAGAAGTAGCCACTGTTCACTTTATGACTAGTTTTAGCCTTAACCGAGAAAGTGAGTACTCTCTTAGCTGCAGATTTGAAAACGAGAGTGGTTGGGTTCACGGTGAGAGTTATACCGAGAGGAGGCTCGATCACGGCTTTGTAGACTGACTTGATGGGTCCAACATTGGTTACAGTTCTTGTGAGTGTGACCTCTTTCTCAAGATTTGGGATTGTGATTGAAGGTAAGTTGATATCAAGCATTGATGGCTCAGGAATTGGGCACTTAGTCTTTTTACCGAGCACACGAGAGATTGAAGAGTCGTTGTAACCCGCGGAACACATATAATTGATGTAATCGTCGATCCCCATATCGTATACAAGACCGGGTTTAGCAGCTTTTTCGGGATTTACAAGTCCTCCTCCATAGTCAAATGGATCTGCAAGCTTCTTGTTTGATCCTTCAGCAAATATAGGTTCTCCAGAGGGACTTGTCCTCCAAAGAAATCGATTAGTCAGTAACGGTTTGTTTATGAAAAAGAAGAATAAGAAGAAGCAAGAACCTGTTGTGACCAAAGCTGATCTCATTGCAGCAGGAGACCAATTAGGGTGTAGAGATTTTAGGAGAGCTATGATTCCAGAAACAACAGGAGTTGACATCGATGTCCCTGAAAGAAGTCCAAATCCGTTCTGTTGTTCTGGATTAAGCGGACTTATTGCCGCGAGTATGCTCACACCCGGAGCTGCTATATCAGGCTACAGAGTAAAACATGACCAGATATTTAACAAGTTTATTCACAAAACGTTTAACCCTTTGAAGTAAACATAGATAAGAGACACAATGGCTATATAACCTTGAGAATGGCTGGTGAAACAGAATTAGGCCCTCTACATGAGAATGCAGCAACCTTAGTCGTTGCAGGCTGACCGGTTAATGTCCTAGCAGCACTAATTCTCACCGTGGGAGATCTGTTGGCAAGACGGATCAATGATGTGTATATATATATATAAATGGACTTATGCATGTATCTATGAAAGTTTTTTTTCTTCAAGATAGAGACCTGGTGGTACGTATGTATTTTAAAATCTCAGTTCCAAGCTCGTAATCCGCGAATATGCATCCTAAACCATTGCATCGAGCAAGAAGATCATCAGGCTTTTGGGCTAGGATTAATGCTGCTACACCTTTCCCTGCAATTGGAGTGGCACTATCGAAAACAAGAACTGTTTTCCCCTTCACATCAACATTATCATCACTGTCTGAGTCCAAGAAAACTAAACCGGTTGAAATCTCCGGTCCAGTGAACAGAGATTCAGCCTAAAAACGTACCAACAAAAAACAAGTTAAAAAAAATCCAAACTTTGAACAATTTCTCAAACTAATTTATGTTTTTTGGGAACAAAAACGTACAAAGAGGGTTTGTTTATTCCCAAGTGTGATCTTTGTAGGAAAAGACCGGTCAAGAGTAGTTGCAGCAACAGTCAAAAGCCAAGGAGCAACATTGTTAACAGTCTGAGCACCAGGCCCTTCGTTACCCGCAGCAGTCACAACCGTAATTCCTTTAGCCACCGCGTGAAAAGCCGCGATATAATCGAGCTTATCGACCTCGGAATCCTCGGGAATAGCTCCCCCAATAGAAACCGACAAAACATCAACCCCATCATGTATAGCATCATCAAAAGCCTTCCACATATCAGCAGTTGTGCATCTTCCATCAGTTCCTCCTCCTTCATCTCCCATTACGTTCCAACACGCCTTGTACGAGGCTATGCGGGCCCGAGGAGCACCACCTCGGACCAAACCTGATAAGAATCACACATTGGTTAGAAAAGAGACAAAATTATTGCCTTAGAAAACCGGTACCTTCCCTCTTAAGCTAACATCTGTGGGATTGGTTTAGACACATCTTCTATATATCAGTACCTCGGGCTAGACCATAGATGCTCACGTTGGGAACGAATGAGCCACCAGCTATTGTGGCTGTATGTGTGCCGTGACCGTTTGCATCTCTGGTGGATTTGAAATCTTGGATGATTGTTCTGTTGAATTTTCCTCCAATTGCAGCGACTGCACCGTTTAAATAGTACTTAGCTCCTATCAGCTTGTTGTTGCAATGTATTGTGGCGTTAAACTGCTCTCCTGGTTCACATTTTCCTCTCCAACGCTTAGGTATTGGTCCAAGCCATTGATCGTTGAGTGCCTTTGACTCTGGCCATATTCCTGCATAATACATATTGACATGATGTGAGCCAAGGAAAGAGGGAGGGATTTAGAGTTAGAGAGCCAGAGAGGGAGAGAGTGAGAGACCGGAATCGATGACACCGATAATAGCTTCTCTGCCCAAGTTGGTGTCATGAAGAAGACCTTTTACAGATGATAATGAAGAAAAAGAAGTTGGAATTGGAGAGAGGCCAAGGTGATCCCAAGTTCTTGTGGTTTTCAGTTTCAGAATCCGGTTTGGTATAAAATGGATTACTGCTGGATGTTCTGTGTTTATTTACAAGAATCTGGTTTAGAAACTTTGTCTTCACAGTCAAAGATATGAATTTTCCTCGTATGTGAGTTTGAGTACCTGAAATTTTCTTTGCTTGTGATGACGTAAGAAGTGCCGCGAAACCTGAGAATCCATGTTGGTAGCTGTAGATCAGCGAGTTACGTGCGTCTTCTTTGCTGTATATAACATGATAAGTACAAGTGAAAGAAGAGCTCATAAGTCATAACAAACAAAATCAAAAACAGAGGAGGGCCTAAGTTCTGTGAAGAAAACAGAGTATGGCGAGATGAGTTTCTTGGTTTCTTGTCACCCAAGAAACGTATGTAATAGATATTATCAACCTAACAGATGTCTGAATAATTTTGTTTAACTAATGAGGATTAAAAACATATATATATATATATATATATATATATACTGTACAAATAAACAAATTCAATAGGTAAATGTCCAATACCAGTATTAGTAGAGATTTGTTTGTTTTTTTTAAAGATGATTATAGTAAAGTACCTTTGAAGAAGTGATTCAAGCATTTGGTGATGAGAAGCTGTGACAAGTTCTGGATCATCGTGTTCTCTTTCGCCAAGATACACTATATAAACCTATTAAATCCGCGAAAAAAGAATACCAACAAATTTTAAAATCAGTAAACTCTTAGCGATTTTTCGCAAACAGAGAAAGGTGTTTTTTAGTTGCATACTTTGCTATCACTGTCTAAGGCTCCAGCAGCTATATGAAAATTCAGCTCTGTGTTAAGAAATAGGACCAAAGCAATAGCCAGTAGAAGCACAAGTTTAGCACTTTGTAAAGAGTTATCCATTTTCTTAAGTGAGAAGTGTGTGGTGGCATATAAGCCTCTATTGTTGTGTATATATAGTAAATCAATAGAGACCACCGATAGTTGAATCTCTTTAGTAGTGCGAATCCAAAGGTGATAGTGCGATGAAACATAAGCGACTCGTTTTTCAGCACGTTCGAATTGATACATTATTGATTTTTGTTCAATCTTTTTAGAAAATTGAGTTTCAAATATTATAGAGGGAATTAATCAATGACTTTAGTTATTACATTTACTACTATCAATCTCACATCTGAAATACAAAGAGACATGGATCAATGATCAATGACTAATTTCGAACCAAAATGGCAAACATTAATCACTGTAACAGCGGAATCCACTTATGGCAAACATCGAGTCTTAAGCTATAAGTAACTTTTTATATTTATTTAAATTTTAAATTTCTTTTAACTAGCATAGTTTTCTTTCTGACAATTTCCGCACCAAAATATTGTAGAGAAGGCCAGTCTTGAGGTTCATTGGTTGCATTTACCATGTCAGTGGCTTCAGAAGCAAAGATCACACTGTTGAATTTATGACTAATCATGCTATCAATAGCCCATGTGATGCTTTGAAATTTAGCTTCTGTTAGAGAGGCAATATTGGAGAAGGAGCGTCTACTATGCAACAATACCATGCCATTCCAATCTCTTAAAACCCATAAGAAACCACCAATGTGATTCCTCTTTGACCAAGACATTCCAATGTTGCATTTTAACCATGGAGCATGAGGCTTAGACCAAGTCTTTCTGGTCTTGCCTCTGTCAAAGATTTTTGATCTTGTGTATTTGCTGCCAATGATTTGAGCATTTACCCATTGTGATGCTTCGTCTTTAATTTTCAAAACCAGATCCATAGGTACAATTTGTTTGCCTTCAAAGAAAAAGCCATTTCTATTCTTCCATAGATACCAAAGTGTCCAAGGAAAGCTTTGACGAATATAATCTGGAATTTCTTGATTTTGAGCCAATGATAGCAGATATTGAAAGTTGGTGAATTCAGAATGAGATTCAAAACCATCTGGTGGACAGGGAAAATCAGAGAGAGCCCAAACCTGACGCGCAATAGAACACTGGAAAAGAACATGATTGGTAGACTCCTTGTTCCAGCCACAAAATTGACATCTCATATCGTAGCTCATTCCTCTTATTTCTAACTTATCTGCTACAGCTATAGCACCACTTAAAGCTCTCCAAATAAAGCATTTGATTTTTGGAGAGGTGTGTAAGGACCAAACCTGAATCTTTAGATCATTTAAAGAGGGTCTTGTCTCAGCCGATGCAATAAGATCAGAATTATTTAATTGGTTTGCTAACCAATAACCAGATTTAACTGAGTAGTCCCCACTTCTATTATGCATCCAACACCAAAAATCATCTCTAGAGATCACAGGTTGATTGAGTAATATGAGGTTCACATCTCTTGGGTAGAATAATTCCTGCAGTCTTTGTAGATTCCAAGTTCTTTCCTGAAAGTCAATCAAAGCTGAAACCTTAAGATTCAAATCTACAAAGATATTCATCATGAAAGGAACCCGCAGTCTCTCATCATACAGCCAGGGATCAATCCATACAAGTGAAGAGTTTCCATTACCAATCATTTTCCTAAGACCTGGGATAAGCAATTGACGACCATGAATAATACTTCTCCAAATATATGAAGGCCGTGAACCCAAATTTGCTGAGAGAATATCATTATCTTCAAAATATCTGCTTTTCATAACTCTAGCAAATAGGCAATTAGGATACTTCAGAATTCTCCAGACTTGCTTAGCTAATAAGGCCTGATTAAAGCATTGTAAATCCTTAAAACCCAAGCCACCTTGTTCTTTGGTTAAACAAAGCTTCTCCCAACTTATCCAATGGATTTTCTTTTTATGTTCCAATGAGTTCCACCAGAAATTAGACATGGCTGAAGTAATTTTTTCACATGTTGTTTTTGGCAGTTTAAAGCAAGACATGGCATAAACAGGAAGAGCCATAGCAATAGATTTAAGAAGAATTTCTTTTCCCCCAAGTGATAAAGTGCGTTCAAACCAACCAGATAACTTAGTCTTCAATTTTTGAAAGATATAGTCTAACATTTGAACTTTAGATCCACTAAAACACTCAGGGAGACCAAGATATGTACCTGTTCCTCCTTCTTTATGAATGCCAGTTAGGTTTTTGATTGATTGCTGCACTTGAAGATTAATTTTAGAACCAAAGGTAATTGAGGACTTGTTCAAATTAATCCTTTGACCAGTCATAGCTCCATAAGAGTCCAGAACATGTTGAAGTGAAGTTGCTTGTTCCACAGAGGCTTTACAGCTGAAAAGGCTGTCATCAGCAAAGAGAAGATGATGAATTGCTGGTCCATTTGGAGCGAATTGAATTCCATGAATTGATCCTTCTCTCTCAGCCCGATTCAACATATGAGATAAACCTTCAGTACACAAAACAAATAAGAAAGGAGATATGGGATCTCCTTGACGCAAGCCACGCTGAGGCACGACCATACCAAAAGGTTGATCATTGATCACTGGAGAATAAGTGACAGTAGAAACACAGAACATTATCCAATCAATCCATTTTTGATGAAAACCTAAGGCAGTAAGCAAACCTTGAAGATAGCTCCATTCCAGTCTATCAAAGGCTTTGGACATGTCCGTCTTAATGGCCATAAACTCAGAGGAGATAACAGGGTGAGTCCTAAGAGCATGAACCAATTCATGAGCGATTGAGATATTATCAGAAATAAGACGCTCAGAGACAAAAGCTGATTGAGTGGGAGAAATTACCAGAGGAAGGATAGGTTGCAGTCTGGAAGTCAAGACCTTAGAAATTATCTTGTATAAAACTGAACAATAACTGATAGGTCTAAGGTCAGACATTAAGGTTGGATTTTGGACTTTGGGAATAAGACACAATTGAGTGTAGTTCCACTCCGATGGAAAAGAACCAGTGTTAAAGAAGGCCTGAACTTCCATGGTTACTTGATGACCAATGATCTCCCAGTACTTCTGAAAAAAGAGACCCGTCATACCATCTGAACCTGGAGCACTTGAAGGATTAATCGAGAAAACAGCTTGTTTAATTTCATCTGAAGACACTGGTCTTATCAGAGATTCATTCATTTGTGGAGAAACCTTAACAGGAAAATCATGGAAGAGCCAATCAAAGTTCCCAGGGTTGGAGCTCTTGAATAAGTCTTTGAAATAGGTTGTTGCGATTTCTCCTTTAGAAGCCTCAGAAGTTTGAATATTCTCAAGAATGTCCTGTAAAGCTTCAATCCTTTTCCGAGATCTATTAGCTTTAACTGAAGCATGGAAAAATTTTGTGTTAGAGTCTCCTTCATCCATCCATTTTTCCCTGCTTTTTTGGCTCCAAAAAGATTCTTCTTCTCTATATGCTAAGATCAGCTGATTCTTTAATCCACGGATATGAAAAATTGATGGTGAGTTAGAAGACTGTTCATACTCCAAAGCCACTTGAATCTGATTAATTTTATCCTGAGAGTTTAAACAATTAACTCTTTTCCATTTGCTGAGGCCTTTACGACAACTCCTAAGCTTATCAGAGACTGAAGATGCATGTAAAGGGTAGACATTAGACCAGGCTGTAATGATGGTTTCCTTAACAAGAGGCTTGTTTAAGAATCTTTTATCAAATCTGAAGTTGCCTTTGTAAGTCTGATTGGAAGATGAGAATTTAACTAAAACTGGTCGATGATCTGAGCCTCTTTTGTCTAAAAATGTCTGATTGGAAGCTGGAAATAACTGAAACCAGTCTTTGTTGCCGAAGCTTCTATCTAATTTACTCTGAATCCACAATTTACTTCTCATTCCATCCCAGGTAAAACTATTACCAGCAGACGGTAATTCATCCATGCCACAAGTTCTAATCATATCAGCAAAGGGCTTGAAAGAAGATTCAGTTCGTTTTGGACCACCTAATTTCTCTCCATTATGTAAAATCTCATTAAAGTCACCTATCATACACCAACTACCTTTCCTTTCAATGCCTATACGCATCAAACGTTCCCAAACTAAAGGTCTTGATATAAACATTGGATCACCATATACACAAGAGACAAAAAAACCAAAAGTTCCAAACTGAACATGGAAATCTATCAGATGTTTATCCACAAAGCTCACATCTATAGCTACACTGTTTTTCCAAAATAAGGCTAATCCACCACTCTTACCAACAGGGTTAACAGTAAGAACTCTATCATAGCCTAACCATTCTTGTAAATCTACCAAAACATTTCTATTATGCATTGTTTCCATCAGGAACAACAACTCAGGAAAATATTCTTTACGCATTTCCATGAGTCGAGGAATTGTCAAGTCTTGAGACCGTCCCAAGCCTTGACAATTCCAACTCATTAAGCTCATTAATGCTTAGACGGTCCCTCATTCGGGACCATCTCAAGTTTTGATAACCTAGCTATTTTGGTAGTAGAGTCTGATTCTTCAGAATTCTTTCTTTTTTGAATGATACCTTGATCTAAACCTTTGGCCAATTCAGTGCATATCAAAGAAGAAGGAGTAGTGGTACCTTTCTGAGTCCTTCTAGGCTTGTAAGGTTTTTTCCTGATATAAGCTTTCCTTAGATGAGGCTTAGATGTACCAGCTTCAGAAGTAGAGGGAGTATCAGTAGAGGTTCCTTTATAACCAAAAGAACATGGAGAAATTGGATCTGGTTCCTCTGACAACATAAAATCTGGTAAGGAAAGACAAGTCAAGTTTTTGTCAGAATGAAGTCCAAGAGAAGAAGCTTGACCATCAGAATATCCTTTCTCTAATTCCATAACAATTCCTTTTCCTTTTTCATGAGAAGGAGCTTGTAAATAGGAAGCAGGAGGTGGAGGAATTATATGACCAATCGCTAAAGTATCATCAGAAATTTTGCCTTGAGTGTTGATGCTAAAACGATTCATATTTGAAGAGTCAACGAAGAACTGACGCAACTCTTCAATTACTAAGGGATCAATCCGAACGCGATCAGAAGTCAGAGAGGAAGGAGCTAAAGGTGAATTCAAGACAGGGTTAAGAGACTCCTTATCTTTCAAGGCTTGCTGCTTCCGTTTGAACAAAGGGCAATTATCACGTTCATGAGTAAGGCGCTGACAGAAATAACATCTTTTCTGAATTCTCTCATAGTCATAGAGGATAGTTGTAGCTTCTCCAGAGGGAAGATTAACAACTTTCGAGCGCCGAAGTGGCTTTGAGACATCAAAGCTGATACGAACCCGAACAAAATCTTTGTTTTGAGCTTTAGTTTGATCAAAATCCATTCCAATAACTTTACCTGCAACCCCAGCAAGAGTCCGGATAGCATCCGAAGTGTAGTGGTTGATTGGTATGTGACGAAGTTGAACCCATATTGGAATGAATTGAAGATAATCCTCAGGAGGTGTTTCAAACCATCTATCGATAGCAAGTGACCACTGATTATAAGTATGAACTCCTTTGTTAAGAATATCCTCCAAATCATGTTCATATTTGAAGATAAACTGAAATTTCTCTGGTGAAAGAGCAACTCCGCGAACACGATCGTAGATTTGCCATTTCCTGGGCATGTCAAGCACTAAACTAGAGACCGATTGACTTTCTGGGTTGAGAATTCTTCCAATGAGACTCATGGAATTTGTCTCTTTTGAACAGAATTCCGGCAGATTTGGAAGATCAAAAGGTTCATCCTTCTCTTCTAAAGACATCTCCATGAGAATCTTGTCAAGAGAGGAAGACATAGCTAAAATAAACTAGAATCGAAGGAAAAGAAACCAAAACTCAAAGAAAAATGAGCTGAGATTGAGAATTTTTGGTGAAGAACAAACACTCAATTTTTGTCTGAAACAAGCAAACGATAAGGATAGAGCTTGGAAAAGTCAAAAGAAAAAGAGTTTTCTAGTCAAAGAAGAAAGCCAAAGACTCTGATAGCAAGAGAGTATTCTAAGCCCAAAAAAGGGAATCCGTTGGAATTAAAAAGCTAGCTTCAATACAAAATTGGAGATTTGAAAATGCAGACACTGAATCAAACAAAGGAGCATCACGCATTGCTCATAGTATCATTCGAGACAATCGGAATCAATCCTATGTGGCAACAGGTTATACCTCTTGGCTCAAATCTCTCTTTGATTCAGAAAGATAGTTTGTCTTTGTGTTTTAACCTGCAACTCTCCTTGATCCAGCAGGTTTGAAACTAGTTTTTTAAATTCAGTCACGACAAATTTTTGGATTTTCACTCTTAGTTATATATAATTACTTAATCTCTAAGATTATCTCCTTTCCTTATTTCTATGTTATTCTATCCTTATCTTCTCTCCTTTTCACGATTTCTTTTTGTTTTACCTTGATACTTTTTACATTATCTTGACTTTCAACTTACCTTGGGTTACCAAACCAAATACGTTTTCTACATAGTTTCCCTCTTATAAATACTTTCCTTCTCTTCCTTCTCCTCACCCAAAACTTTTTTCTCTTTTTCTTTTTAAGTTCTCCTTCATCTCTAACTATGGCAGATAGATTATGGGATGATTTACAAAACTCCAACTTAGGTCGTAATGATCCTGAGCTCTTTATTCCTCATCATACTTATGTTGACGTTGTTGGAAGGAATAGACTCAGCCTTATTGCTCGGCCTCTCAACACCAGAACTCAAAGTCTCTAAGCTATTGTCTCTTCACTTCCAAGAACTTGGGGACTGACTACACGTATCCATGGAAGAGTTTTGAGTGATACTTATGTCCAGTTCATATTTCAATCTGAAATAGACTTGGTTTCAGTTCAACGCAGGGCTCCATGGATCTTTAATAATTGGTTCATAGCATCACAGAGATGGGAAGACTTCCCAGATGTTGACTTCCTTACTACCATTGATCTTTGGGTGCAAATCCGTGGAATCCCACTTCCCTATGTATCAGAAGGCACAGCCAGGTTTATTGCTCAAACTTTAGGTCAAGTGATCTACTTGGACTTTCATGATGAAACAACAGTTCAAATCACCTTTATCAGAGTTAGAGTTCGATTTGGAATTACAGACTGCTTTAGGTTTTTCAGAAGGGTTTGTTTTGAGTCAAGAGAAAGGGCTATGATTAGCTTTCAATATGAACGTCTGAGAAGGATTTGTAGTCATTGTCTTCAAATTACACATCAAAGAAGTCACTGCCCTCATATTCAGCTCCCTCAGACTCCTAGAAACAATCCTGAAGTCCTAGATGTACCACTTTACAACACGAGGAGGTCTTATGATGAGGATAGAAGATCCAATCTTAATTCTCAATCTCAAAACTCTGATTACTCCTTTCCAGCGCCTTTGACTCCACCACCAAGACTGGATTCTCCTCCACCAAACCCTGAAGAATTTGCAGCTGCCTTTCCACACTTTCATGAATCAAGTCCAGAAGGATTACATCAATCTGCTTATCCATCTCCGAGAACTGTTATATGGAGAAAGGAATCTTCCACAGAGTCTATGATTTCCCCAACCACCACAGCAGGATCCACTCTTGGAATATCAAACAACTTTGAGGTTGGTGAATCTTCAAAACGTCCAAATTCAGACTCTACTGAGAATGGAGGAATTCTGAAGCCTCCCAAGAAAAGATAACTCACTCTACTAAATTCTGTCATAACTTTTTGGGTCCCTGTAACTGCCATTACAGGTTAAGTTAAGTTGGTTTGTTGAATAAGATTCTAGAACAGACTAAGTCACCTTTTGGTTTCTGTTTTAGACAAGTTTAGTTTATGATATCAGCCTAATCTTCTCTACTTGATTGTCAAGTTTAGATTTGGTAATCTTGTTCTGTACTAGTTGATAGGCTTTGGCTTTATGCACTTTTGTAATGGCTCAGTTGTACTGGCTTTTATATATAAAAGTAACACTCTTGTGACAAAAAAAAAAAAAGCATAGTTTTCTTTCTTTTTTAAAGCACAAGTCACACAAGTGAAGTGAGGGCTTAATATATGTGGTAAAGCTAAATTTGTCTCATTTCAAGCATAAGTAACTTTTTATATTTATTTAAATTTTAAATTTCTTTTAACTAGCATAGTTTTTTTTTTTTTTTTGCATAGGCCCTCTAGTAAAGTTCAATGTTTATCTGCGTGTTAATTAAAACAATTCTGACATCGCTTGAACTCTGCAATTTGGAGACTTTCTGTTATAGAGGGCCTATGGCTATGTATAATGATTAATCAGTGAGAAGAAGAAAAAGAGATAATGTTGAAAATGGTGAACAAAGGCGATTTAGAAACCCTACCAGTCATCATGCTCATGCAAATGGTGGTAGGGCAATGAGTGGCATAATTGGCCATTTGTTGCCGTTTCATTGCTCTCCCGGAATGAGGTGTCGTCAAACCATTTGTCTCCTAGCATAGTTTTCTTTATTTGGACAAGTAATAGAATTATATAATTGAAAAAATCCAATGCACGTTCAGTTTTTCCCATCACGTTACTATATATAAATTGAATACACAAGCATGGATTGAACAACCCAATAAACCTGGATCATGGCTATGAATTAGTTCACACTCTGCATATAACAAAAAAAAACATTAATTGAACATAATTTGGTTTCAGGAGCGATGTCGTGAAAATTAAGCCTTCAGATAACAACATAGTTATAGGATTCCATAGCATTAAGACTAAAACTCAAGATCTCTGACTCAAGGCTAAAAAACTCTGTAACATGAATCTCTCTCCTTCTCTCCATCCACTCATGTCCAGAATCCTTTTGTGTCTCTTCCATAACACACCTCAGAATTTGAAATCTTTCTTCTTCTTCCCTTCCTTATCATGCATTTTCCTCTTCCTGCTATTCTGCTGCACATGCTGTTAAACATTCCACCATTTTAAGGTTTGATTATTCATCTGCATTTATATCAATAGAGTTTAAAATAGAGATAGATATAGAGAAAATCATTACCTCGACGACCATGTCACTCAAGTCCACTGGCTTATTGCGCAATTTCTCCTCTTCTCTTGCCTCCTCATACTTGGCAGGTAACACATTTTCCATAGCATCCAGCTCTTCTGGCTGTAAACTGACATCCACTCTGTCTGTCTTTTGCCCTCTCAGTAAATCAACCTGCTCAAAATTGACACAATTGCACACATTAGCAACTTGTCATAAAAGCTAAACAACAAACCTGAGCATGTAGCACATCATTGCAATTTAACAACAGACTGCTGCTTACCCTTTTGGCTCCCGTCTTGTCTTGAGTACCAGTCTTAATAACGTATGTGTGTGTGGTTCCCAGCACTGTTCCAGGAGCAACACTCTCTCCCTTTTCTTCGAGTACCTTCACAAGACCAAAAAAAAGGCAGCATTAACGAGCAGCAACAGTGATATATCGGTTGACATCAACCTAATAGAAAATCCTACAAGGTATCAAAATTAGGATTCATACCTGGTATAGAGGCCTATCAGGTTCCTTTCTCTGTTCCTTACGAAGTTCAATTGCATCTGGTGTCTCAATACCAGTAGGGGTGCTGAAAAGAAGGGAAAAAACGCAAATCAGTTTTATATTTATATTATAATGATAAGCAAACAATTAAATATACACCTCATGAATGTATACCTTGACAGTGTATCAACAGATTCAGTGCCGTCTTGTAGATCCTCATCATCCATCTCCTCTTCTTGTTCCTCTTCTTCCTCCTCCTCTTCCTCTTCCTCTTCCTCTAAATCACCCCAGTGCTTACTCTTATCAATAGGCTCCTCCTGAGATGAAAGAACAACCGTCATGCTCTATAGCCAAATTTTATGATCTCTAAATATTCAACGTATTTTGTATCCACTAGGTTAATACCACACCAACTACCCATTTAGCTGGATACAATTTTAAAACAGACCTCGTAGCACAATATGCAATTACTAAGGGGAAGAACAGAGAGAGATGAAAACAATTACCTCATAGTTAGGCTGATCTTGTTGCTGGACACCAAAGACATCTCCATACAATGGACGCCCATACTATGTAAGAGAAACGATGAGAAGAAATAAATAAAAAAAAAAGTCCATAGATGGCATAGAAAATAATTAAAAAGAAGAATGTAGATAAAAATGCTTACTTCGTCAACTGGAGGTTTCCCCCAGCCGCCAATATGATACCCAAAGCTAGCTCCAAGTGGAATAGGAGCATTCAAACCAGGAATTTTCAGGTGTGGGTAAGAAGGAGGAGGACCATATCTCTGTTAAAGAAGAAGAGTTAAAGGTGAACAACTCAATTCCAATCAGAATAATTAAAAAAGATAAGTCACAATAAACTCACCTGCATGTTAATTAGCCATGGGGGAGGAGCGCCTTCAGGCATACCAAGAGCTTCTTTTAAGTCGTGTGATAAAATCCCTGGTTTCGTTTCCCTCAGTTTAACCTATTTGCCAAATGATTGTAATTAGATTTCAGGTACACAAACCAATAAAACCAGGTAATGTAAATTATAGATAAAGTTGCAAAACATGACACAAGGAAGTACCTCAAATTCTTTCCCTTCAAAATACAAATCGCCTAGAGCTGACAGCTTAGGCTTTGTTTGGTATTTGAAAAATGCATCATGAAGGACCTGAGAAAGGAAGGTATATTTTCAATTATCAGTTATAGAAGGAATATAAACAAACAATCATCACAAAACAAAGATGTAAAAAAGGGAAACCTGGTAGTCAATGTCCATCTTTCCCATCTTTGGTTGCATTCTCTCCCGTTGCTTTTGCTTCAACTTCTTACCATCTTCTTTCTCAATGTAAGCCTGCACAAGAACCACACATGAATTAGCGACTTGCACCTTACATTGATAAAGAATAACTTAAATTTTGAAAATGTATATGGCAGCAAGAAAGAATGACTAGATATAAATCAGATACAGTGTAATAGTGTATGACTGAAATTAAAAAGAAAGAGAATCAGTCAAAAGCAACAAGAAATGGCCATTTGCGTGCAGAAACTACGGGTGCTGGTTAAGAAAATGGCATTGCCTAGACAAAAGCTTGAGTTTCTTACACATCAGTGAAACATTTAAAGTCGAAGTGAAATGTGGAGATTTTCCAAAATTTTTTAATGATAACATATTTCCTGATACTTAATTAGTAGATATTTCTACAAAAACAAACACCTTCTGAAATAAAAATGTGCAAGTCAATAGAAGAGTAAATCATGGGGTCCAAGACAAGATACCTGTCTAATTTTCTCAATTCCGGTTGCAGCAATGAAATCAGGAAGATGAAATGGCTGCTTCTCTATACCACGTTTTCCCTGCAAAAATGAAACCCCGATGAGATGCCAACAACTTAAGAAAGAAAGAGAAAGCAATTAATAGCCATAACACACTTGACTCAATCTTAAGAGTACTACAAGATCATTAAAAACGCATACGAAAACAAATAGTACAGTTTCAGAAAGGGAATATCCCAAACTGATGCATTAAACACTTTTCTCCAAAAACTAAGTAACACAGATTTCATATATAGACAAAAAAAATAATCAAGAGTCCTCTCCGGTTACACCTACAAGTCCAGGCTCCATGGTTATCACAGACGTTCTCCTGCAAGAAGCATATATAGGTATAAGGAAACTTAATTGACATGGTTATCACAGACGTTCTATCCCTCATGATATAATTTCCCTATGTACCCGTACCACACCCACAAATCACAGAAACATATATAGTTAACTACAGTACCAGAACTAGAAATATCACAAACCTGCAAATATTTTCTCTTCTGGGACCAATGTCGTGGAACAGGAACTGTATTCCGATACGACTTCAAAAACACCAACAACTTTGGATCTGCTGAAGTAGCGTCCCAGACCTGAAAATTGTAAAATAGAATATACTATAGAGATCTACACAACGAGATAAACCTTGATACTCTTAACAGAATAGAGAAGCATACATACCTCAACGACATCAGGCCTAGCGGAAACCTGCTTCAGCTCAGCAATCTTCATCCTCCGTTGAAGCTGAGAAAACAGAAATTGAGGATTTTAGAATCAGAAACAATGTGGTATACAGAGCTTAGAATCTAAAGGAAAACAATTAGCTTAGAGATAGACCTTTTTCTTCTTATTAGAGATGCCTTTCTCTTTGTTCTGGTTATCCCGCTCATCCTCGTCTGAACCTGAATCAGAGTTAACCTTCTTTTTGACATCTTCTTTGTCCTCAGACTCATCCTTCTTACCGTCTTCCTCCGAGGTAACAGGTTCGCGAAAGTTGAACTTCTCAAAGATTTCCTTAAACTCATCGTTAAAACCATCTTCAAATTCAGCCTGCTCTGGAACATACTCTATCACAATCTGCTCAGAAACCTAACAAAAGAAACAAAAACCACAAATCATCATCAATCAATACACAATCACAAACCCTAAAAAAACCCTAGAAAACTTCGAATCTCATGAATCGAGTGCGAGAAAAAAGAACACAAAGCTAACCTGTTGCTGCGGATCTGCATTCTCCTTAGAATCAGAAGCACCAGAAACGTCCGATGTATCTACATCGGCCTGAGATGCTTTGTTGTTCTTCTTCTGCTTCCGTCGGCGGCGGCGACGGTCGCTCTCACGAGATTTCTTCGAGGAAGCGGTGGTGTTTCCGTTGGAGACATCGCCGTTAGAAACGACGCTATTAACGTGTGCGACGGTTGAATCGGCGGTCATATTCGGTGAAGTCTCAGAATCGGTGATGTGAAAGAGAGAGAGAGAAAACGAAGGAAATCGAGGATATATGAACGGAAGTCGGTTTTGCTAAAATTATCCCTGATTGATCTATTTCGGTTTGGTTTAGTTTTTTTCTCGCCATAAGGCCCACTGGCCCACACAAGTAGTAGGAGATATCTGCCCATAGGCCCAATACGAAGGATTTAAGCCAATCAGATATAATAGAGTCAAAAACTCAAGTGGTAAATGTGAGTTTTTGTTTCTTGATACATTATCGATAGTTGTTGGTTGGATGATTTGAAGGAGGTTCGACTAATATTCTCTTGCAGGTTTAACGCTAAGTCTTTGCAATCAGAAATAAACCACTACTCTTGTAAAGTCCTCCTGTTAGATAATTGAATGAGTAGCCCATTCAAAAGCCTTATCTTTGTAACGTAATAGAAATTTTCAAAGGATATGAAAATATGTATGTTCATGGTCGTGTTTTATGGATTTATTATTGTTACTAGGTGAGTGCCCGCGCGGGATTTTGTTATAAATTTTGTTTTAATTTTATTTCAAATGAATAAGATAGTTGTTTTTATGTATATCATTTCTCGTTATGCTGCAGGGAAGGAGTATCATGTCAAAACCAATGACAAACGTATGAGGATATAGACAGTGACAAGGCTTATGACAAGTAATAATACGTGGAGTCAATTGCGAGAAAGTGGAACCTTTTTCTTCTTCATCATGATATTTACTGCTGCCTAAAGAGAGTGAAGGAGTTTCAGTCCTTGAGAAGCCGAGTATCAATATTTTAGGAGGATTGGAGGAATGCTAACCTGAGTACAGAGAAATACACAAGTGAGATTCAAAGAAATCACTTTGTCCCATTGCGATTGCTTCATTCGAATTAACAAGGTATCCCGGGTAATTCCTGAAAATATGTAGCCATGTCAGTAAGGAACTACGTAAAAATCAATGGGAGCTTAGGTTTTCATTTACCTGAATTGTTAACTACAACATCAATGGTTCCCCATTTATTAAGAGCCTACAGAAAAAGAACAAAAGGAGAATGATAAGATGTACAAGGATTTGGGAATATGAGATGGCGTACAGTTGATCACTCACGGTTTTCATCATTGCATCCACATCAGCCGCTTTCGAGACATCACCCCCCAAAGTGATAGCCTGGCCACCATATTCTTCAATCTACAGTCCCATAGAAAAGAAATGACAGAGATAACATGGAGTTAGGTGACATTGTAGAAGAAAACACTTTTGACTGCAGATGACATTTGTTAGGTAAAAGATGGTTCAAGAGCAAAATCACAAACGCATTTGAGAAGCACATGGCGAGAAGAAATAGTTTCAAGGGCCATAATATTCAATTGTTTACATTTCTTGTCCCAGAAACCAAAACTGTTTAAAGGAATTTTCATCGTAAAACTCAGAAAGGTACTACATTTGTTTTGGTTCCAATAACAACATCCTTCCAGTCCTAACACTTATGAATTATTTGGCCGAAAGCTATATCCCGAAGCAGAAAAACAAGGTAAGAGCTGAAAACCAAAGCTGATTACAAACATTCTAAATACTTGGTGCATGAATAATGTAAATTGCACTCTAATACAGGGAAATGGATCACCTGTTTGACTTAGCATAATTCAGCAGGACCTGCAGCAGAAACAGAGTGTTTACTTCCAGATCAGAAAACTAAGACTAATGTGTAGCAATGAAGGAGATAAACCTATTGATGTGTCTCCATCATTCTAATGACAACAGAAACTGAAAGCAATCCTGAGCTAAAATCTTCATAACTCAAATTACTAATCTCACGAGTATTTTCTTTCATCAATTTCATTCAAAAAAACTACACCCAAACCTTCCCAATGTTCAGTAAATACTCGATCAAACCATTTCATTTTTTTCCCCGGTGAATTTCGTCATGCAAAAAGCAGAGTTATCATATTTTCACTCCATGAACACATTACTCACATCATGATACCAAATTTTTATGCGAAACCCTCGGTTGATTCTTCTGGAGTCTAAATTGACACCAGTAAGGAAATAGAATCAGTACCTGAGTGATGAAATATTTTCCGGTGACAGTATGAAGGAGATCGAAGTCTATAACGCCAAGCTACTGAAGCTTCTGAACCAATGCGACTATATTTCGATCCGATAATCTCACACTTGACTTCACCTGTTGGGCAAACTCGAACTAACGCTACAATTCCAACTATACATCATCCATCTCCCTCGCGTTCTCACCGGAATTTGAGTCTCAGTCTCTCAGATCATATTGATATCGTCAATACAAAGAAGCGTCGGTTTTTTTTGCGTCAGTCCTCAGATTCTTTTGATTATGTTCAAATACCGTATTAAGTATCTTTCCTCAATTGAATTTACTGGTTAAACGTAAACCGGGCCGACCGGGTTTATCTCGGAACACCTAAATTGTTTTGAAATTGAGGGTTTTGATACTTAAACAAAATAAACCCTAATTCTTCAGAAAATCAGAACGGTTATTCTTTTCTCCTCTCTGCTTTAGTTGTTCTTCGCCGTAGCTGAATCTTCGTCTTGGATAGTTTTCTAATCTGATTAGGAATCATAATTTCTTCTAGCCTCCTAGAAATAAGGTTTTGACTGTAGAATATGAGCTACGAAAATATATATATATATGAGCTACGATTTCTGATTTTATATTCACTGAAACAGATTAAGCCAAAGCAGTCGCTACACTTGGAGGCATGGAAACCAGTATCGATTGGATACAAAAGAAGGTATATATTGATGTTGCCATTAGATATATCTTGACTGTTGAAGAAGAAGACGAATTACTTGGTTTTCTTTCCCTCTGTTTGTAAATGTGATAGAATATGATCCAATCTACATACGGTAACTCATGATCATACGTAATAGGCTTTTCGTTAATATATCTACGCCACGTATAAATTATCTAAAAACTCTTTCCGTAGGTGGTGGGACTGCATCGCATTGCCAGATGATGTTCATCCTTTTGATGAAGGAGCGTTGAGGATGGAGATTAAGAATTTTGCGTGTACGGTATGTGTTTGTGTATATATCTCCTCTGGAAGTTGAATTTGCGTGCCATGTTGCGTAGAGATTACAAATCGCCATTTGCATCAATATCAAATCCTGACTGTTTTGCCAACTGAATTATATTGTTTTATCTCCAGTATTTGGAGCTCCTGAAGACAACCATATTTGACAAAGAATGTGAAGCTCGTATCCCCATCATCATTTTGATATATTTTGTACCATTGTTTCTTTGTTTCATACTTTACTCACGGAGGGTCATTCCTTGACGCTAGAAAGTTTTCTCCCTCGAAATCTAAGGGAATATCATCGGCATGTTTGAGCTGAGTAACCTGTAAGAGTCGTCAATTCCTGTTTATATCCTTACATTTACAATGAATTTACCCACAATATGTTTGATCTTTGGCGGAGATTTGGTGGTAGCATTACCAGTAGAGGACTATTTCTTGTATATTTTTGATCTTCCTGATGCAGAAAAGGTGTGAACAGAATAACGCTTTCGGCCCATTCTTATTGTTCTTTGACCAAAATCTATCGACTCTTACCAGTTTCTTATTCTCATTATCCTAGGAAGAAGCCGAGGAAATCACGAGACTGTTTCTAGATGCTCTTGGTGATGAGTATTCGGTCTGTTGCCAAGGTTAGAAATGAAAGAAACATTGTTACCATAAAACAGAGGAGTTATGTAACTTGAAACCAAGATTTGACATTATTATGTTTAGGAACGGCTTCACTACAAGAAAAACGTATATTGATAGCGCGGAAAAACTGCTATCGTAGGTAATACATAGCGAAATTACAACTGCTATGATCTCGGCAACTATGGTAGATGCCCCACCTACGATAGCATTAATTTTGTCTGCTATAGTATGTTCATATACAATAGCACTTTATTAGTGTTATTATTCACGTTTTCATAGCAATAATTTAATGCCATTATTTAGTTGTTCATAACAATTTATGAATTTTTCCAATTTTTTCTTACAATTTGATTTATATAATTCTTATATTTGAATCCTGTTTTTAGAATTTATTTAATTGGATAGAAAAACTTTAATATTTCATAAATTTTGAACAATGTTTACATAACATCATACCAATCATTATACTAATTAACATCGAAAGTATACCTAAGTCTTAACCAAAATAAAACTAACATCATAAGGATAAACTAACTTCTTGAGATATAACCCATCCAAGCTTGCTCATCTTCTTGCATTGGCTGCATATAATCTGACATAAAAAGTGAGAAATATTGTCAGATAAGAAAATTAGGTAGAAGATGTTATGTCAACTTGGTTTAGATAATTCACATACTAGTATACATAAGAGTGATTGTTGTGGTGACCTAAGATGATATTTTTTGTCTGACTACCCTAGATTTAATTTCATGCCCCAATGTCGCATAAGCCAAAGATCAGTCAAGTCAAAAAGAACTATACAAGTACTAATTTAGAAGTAACAAACTTACCCATGTATATTAAGATGGGACAGGTGACGTCTTCTTCTTCTTGTTGCTTTAGTAGCCTTAAGAGTAAACGACTTTCTTGGCTTCACTTTAACTCCTGCAAATACACAAATTGATTATCAACACTCGGCTCCATGGAAAAATATTTAGTCAGTCAAGGGTCACGATGTTGAAGAAAAATAGGAAAAGTAGAGACACTCATCGAATTCAATTACAAAGTCAAAAGAAAGAAAACAAACTTACCTTTTGTCTATTTTGAAACAGCCCAATGAGCAGTTGCAGGCCAGCCAATCTGAGATCTATTAACTTATATCTAATTATCACAATATGCATAAACTCTTTACACGATATAAAAACAAAGAAAACTTTCAACAATATGATTGCAAAAATCAAACATACACGTAATTTGCAACATCTTCATTGAATTTCCTCCCATTCAGTCAAATCCCTTTTATGAAGGTCTGGAAAAAAAATGAACAACAAGGAAAACAAAACACATAAGCCACAATCCAACAGAAGAATGCAAAGTAAAAGAGAATCGTTTAGACCAACATGCACATTATCAATCAACTGAAACATGTAAAACCTTGGTTATTGGTGGAAGTGAGTTATAGTATCTGCAATCCATAATACCAAATAACAGGCACGATTAGAAACAATTTGAAAGATATCGTGAAATCAAGGCATACAAATTCCATCCATCTATAAACTTGTAATCACTTCCAGCGCCTTTCGAACAAGAACTTTGTGGCATCGTTCTACCAATCAAATTTCTACATATTAAACAAGAATAGGATTGAAAATTCAAAATGAACTCACTTGCAGCTCCTTCAACGCTCCTGGAATTGCGCCAAACCAATCGTTTTGATTCCATCTCAATTGTACAAAGCCTTCTCTCGGTTATTCCTGCACCAAATTAGACCAATCTGAAACCTCAATCGACACCAAAACGGAACTTCTCCTCCATCAACACCAAAATCGGCGGCTGAATTTAATAGCGGCAATGAATCAAATGAGAAGAAAGACGATGTTTGCAACAAAGACCGTGAATGTCTAGGCTGTAAAGTCGCCGACAAAGACCGTGAATGTCTAGGCTGTAAATAAGCCCAATCGCTCTGCCTCTCCTCGAGCTGCTCCGCCGCAGCCTCCCTCACAAGCATAGACGGCTCCCTCATCACACGTCCGCTACTCGCACAACTCAGAAACCTCGCCGATTCTATCAAACCTTGTCTCCTAACAGATCTCCGTTCCCCACCGTTAAACCAAAATCGAAACTTTATAGAACTGTCACGACACCGAATCAAAAGAAATAAGTACAATAGAAGAAATAAATCAATTGAGTAAGATACACATGCCTTCAATCAGAGTTCTATCCGGAAAATAGATCTGAAATTAGGGCCGACGGTAAGTTACACAGCTAGCGGCTATGAATTTAGGGCAGAAGTGTTAAGCTTGAGGGTTTAATTTGTGGCTAGATGATGGAGTTAGTGTGTATAAGAGATTTTAGGGCAGAATTGTTAAGCTTGAGGGTTTTCGAGCAAGTGTTGAAATGAAAAGAGATAGAACAAAAGAAAAAGGAGAAAATAAGAAAAGAGCTCGAAAAAGTGAAAAATTGGCTAAGTATTGGCGGAGTAAGTGAAAAAAGTTTCCCGCTTACTAAAACTATATCTTAGCGTTTATGCACTGCTATAATATCAAAACCAAATTACAACTTTATCTTCGATAGCAGTTTCGAAAATCGTGCTATAAAACAGTGCTATCAATGTGAGCTTTTTTTGTAGTGCTTTCTTCCCTCTGCAGAGCTGTATGAACCATTCTTGTTGCCCTAATGCCAAATCCTTCAAAAGAGAAGAGGTATCTTTCTAACATGTCGTCCTCTTTATGGTCTACACATCTCAAGGATTAGAGATTTTTCAACAACACTTTGGGACTGAAGTCTTTTTTACTTGTGGGTTTTGCAGGACAAAGAAAAACAAGTTTTGGGGGTTTTGTGGGTTATTTACACTGATCCGGATTTAAACAGTGTTAAAAGGGTGGGTGTCTGGTTCTGTCCTAATTTTCTGCACGGAAAAAGTTTTGAGACTTGAGTTGTCAAAATTATCTTTGTTTTTCAGGTTGTTTTGGAGGCAGATGGTTATCAACCTTATCTTATATCTACAGAGAAAGGGTTCAGATCGTTGATAAAGATTGTCATTGAGTTGGCTAAAGATCCTCCACGTCTCATGTTCATGAGGTGTGTTTATTTAAATGTTTTTTAGGTAGATGCAGTAGGATTGAATTTTATAAATTTACAGCATTGTGAACTGTTCATGGCTAGTCTGACTAGTGTACTTTTAACTCTTCGGACTGTTATTTAGAGTTTAGTCAAGTTTTTCCTGGTTGTACTGCAGTTATCTGGTTTAAAAAGTCTTATTAAGTTAATATACGTTACCGTAGATGAAGTTTTTTTTTTATCCTACTCTAAAAATCATTCATCCAGTTTCCCTTCTGTCTGAATTTTCTGTTACGCTAACATGGCCTTAACTTTTGATTAGGGTTTTTTCTATTACACCAATTGTCATATTTTAAACACATATGGCCCATCTATTATGGGTTATTTTGTTTAGTCCTACACATTTATAATTAAAAGCTGATGAGTTAAAAATTAAAGCTGACTCATATTAACAAAATGTTTTGATTGGAAGGAAAAAAAGCTGATGTGTCAGCTCCAGAAGAGCCTAAAATGCTGACGTGACGACCATATGGAGAGAGATAGCCTCCTTTCATATATATGATTGTAAATATGTATGTTCATGGTCGTGTTTTATTTGTAAAAAATGAAACACTAGAATACAACCCTGTTCTAAAAATCTCCGCCTACCCCGATTACTCTCCGCTTAATCGCTAGGCCCATCCTCTCCGTCTCGATTAATGACTAATCCCTTAAAAAAATCAGTCACCCGATTACTCTCCGCTTTATCCGACTAATTCCCTCCTAATCCGATTATTTTCCACCTATTCTTACATATCCCGACTATTTTTTTATTGCAAGTATAAATTTTTTTTTTTTTATTCAAACATTTGAATTGGAAGTTTGTAATATTTGACAATAATTTATGTTCAAATTTTAATAAAAATCATAATTTTTAATAAAAATTTGCCTTTAAATATATTATTATGTGTTTACTGTAATTTTGAAAATAATATTAGATTAATATATTTTTAAAAATATTAAAATAACCCTAAAACTAGTCCCCGATTAATCTAATAAGGGTATACAACCACATTTTTTAAAAAAATTGTATAAATATATTGATTCTAAAACTCCTTAATATTAAAATGAATTCCATCCAAAAGGCCCCCATTATATACTTTTACATATTATTAAATAATATTATTTAAATAATAAATCTGGTTTTAGTAACACAATAGAATAGCTATCAACCCAAAAATAGTTTTAACTCTAAACACTAAACTAAAAAAATGTTTTTTCTCTTAAATTTGTCTTCATTGGTAAACTTGAGTTCTTTCTCTCCTTTATTCCTTTGTTAAATTTATTTCAAATAAATATACTTGAAATTAGTCCCAAATTATAATATAATCTAATATAATACTTTGTAGTTTGTTCTCCGACGAACTAGAAAAATTTTAATATAATTTAAATGCTTTGGTATTATCGTAAGAATTTGGTTTATATGAATTATGGTAATTTTTAGTCACTCTGAGCTTTTATTAATGTGAACACGACTCTCACTGTATATTATCGCTTGCATATTGTTTATCACAATTGGAATCATATACAGTCTTTTTGAGTTTAAAAAGTTGTTAATATAATAGGAAATAATTTTGTAACGGTTATTTTAAAAAGTCGTTTAATAGATTTTAAATAAGGAAAAAATATTATCTATATAAAAAAATTACCGTTACGTAATTACCGTTATATAAAAAAATTACCGTTCTGTTCTACTTGCCTCGTCGTCTTCGTTTCTGCTGTGGAGATGGTTGTGTGAGCTCGGTTCTTTTCGAGGCTCCTGTCTGTTGCCTCTCCTCAGCGCCAAACTGTTCTATGGAAGTGCTAGTCAACTGCTTGTAGGGAAGAGTTTTCAGTGTTGTTGCTTTGGAGGCTTTAGCTGTTATTCCTTTAGTAGTTATCTTTGTATCTGATGTTCTTAGGCTTGTTATGTTTGTCCGCCTCTTTTGGCCTTAAGTTTCTGGGGGTTTCTATGTACCCGCCGGCTTTGTCTCCGAAAGGATTTCGATCTTTGTCGGCTTTGTATAACTCAATCGCATTCTATCAATGAAATCCTTTAGACGAAAAAAAAAAAAAAAAATTACCGTTACGTAGTTGTGTATCTTGAAAAACAAAACAAATCAGTTTTATATAATAAACAATACCTCTATGAAAACATTGTAAAGAGTATTATTCATGCTAAGTATAAAAAAAATATTTCACAACCCAAACATGTGAAGAATATCATCTTTTGAATTAATAGTTTTCTTAGAGAAAAAAAGGAATTAGAGCAACTATAAATATCTTGTGGTATATGAAACATTGACACTGTATTTACATTACAAGTACGGTATGAATCGAAAACCAGAATTTTAACAGGTTTGAGTTGATACGTAAAAAAAAAAAAAAAACTATTTAAGGGTTTTATTAATTTTTAAAAAATAAAAATAGTATTAAAAAATTTTTAAAATAAGACAATAAATAAAAAGAATGGTTAAAAAAATGAAGGGACCTTCGTGTTTCCCTTTAAAACCCAATGACAAAGGCATAATGCCGTATTCACAATCTTGACTCTTCGTTATCTGGATCTAGGGTTTCTCTCAATTTTTAGAACGCCACAAAACCTAATAAACTTTTCCCAGATACACAAACAAAATCATCATCAAGGAAGAAGAACTAGGGGTTTTTTGTGGATTCATCATCGGTATTTTACAGATCTATATTCAAAGGGAACAAAATCTAAAGAACAAACACTAAATTCTCATTCTTTCTCTTATTACCAAATCTTCTTTTGTTTTCTTGATTCTTGCTAAAGAAAAAACTCGGATCCAATTCAAAAACTAGTGTGGACTGGTGATCAATCTATCAAATCAGGCCAAGGGACAAGAAAAAGTTAAGATTTTGATGAACCAATTTGAGATGAGACATTAGACATCCATTGATCTGTAAACTTTAAGAGAGGAGAAGAAGGAGAAAGAAAGTATGTATAGTAATAATAGAGTAGAAGTGTTTCATGGAGATGGAAGAATTGGAGAAATGGAGATTTACCCTCCCAGGGAATTGCAGCAGCAGCAAGAAGATGATGTGATGAAGCAGAGGAAGAAGAAACAGAGGGAAGTAATGGAGGAAGCCAAGATGGGAATCAGAATAAACCACTTTTCTCAATCTGGCGAGAGGTGTACTCCTCTCGCAGTACTTACTACAATTTCATCTTGTGGTCTCTGTTTCAAATTAGAAGCTTCACCTTCTCTGGCTCAAGAGCCACTCAGTCTTCTCTACTCCTCTTGTCTCATGGACAACAAGGTATACTATACCTTATGGAACCTTTAAGCCTCTTACTCAGACTTAGATTTTATGAACTAAAACTTAAAAAGACTAATGAAAAAATGGGATTTTGGGTCATTATTTAACTTCCTTAATGTCAGAATTACATCAAGTTTGGGGCTTTAGAAACTTTTAGTGGCTTGGGGTTTGAATCTTGTGTTTTGTTTAAATGTCTATGTATGTTAACTAAGTATATGCAGGCGTAATTGACTGAATTATCTTTTGGATTTTTGGTTCTTGCAGACGGCAGTAATGCTCCTGGGTGGAGAAGAGCTCCATTTGGTTGCCATGTATTCGGAACATATCAAGAATGACCGTCCTTGTTTCTGGGCATTTAGTGTTGCTCCTGGAGTCTACGATTCCTGTCTTGTCATGTTGAATATTAGATGTCTGGGTATTGTCTTTGATCTTGATGAAACCCTTGTAGTGGCGAATACCATGCGCTCATTTGAGGATAAGATTGACGGGTTGCAGCGGAGAATAAACAATGAGATGGACCCTCAACGCCTTGCCGTTATGGTGGCTGAGATGAAGCGATATCAAGATGACAAAAATCTATTGAAGCAATATGTTGAAAGTGACCAGGTTGTTGAAAACGGGGAGGTGATCAAGGTGCAATCTGAAATTGTTCCTGCCTTGTCTGACAACCATCAGCCTCTTGTTCGCCCCCTGATAAGGTTGCAAGAGAAGAATATTATCCTGACTCGCATTAACCCGATGGTATGCAAGTCTTGAATTAGTATATGTCTGTTAGTTTCTGTTCCCCGAATGCCTATATGTTTAGTGCTTGCCACCCGTTTAAAAGACAATAAGTAGTGGTGTGCTGTGTGGTGGATTTCCATGAATAACATCCACAACAGCCAAGCAACTTGTGGTATTTCCTTGAATATTTGACTGTATAACACTGGAACAATAACCGTTTATTTACATTTGCTCCTAGATTTTTCTGAATTCTTGTGGCTGAATCTGCATTCCTATATTTACTCACAGATTCGTGATACAAGTGTTCTTGTGAGAATGAGGCCTTCATGGGAGGAACTTCGAAGCTATTTGACAGCAA